AAGTGATTGCCATACTGCATGTTTTATTCTGGATGCTTTTGGATCATTACTACTCCTCACGAATGGCGTTATATATGTCGTCCACTGAATAATCTAATTTTCAAAAATAACCCAGGCGAGTTCAACTATTTTACTTAATGATTTTTTGTACTTAACATGTATATGTTTTCCAGTTGCTTTTTCCATATATTTGTAAGTGACCCTAGGCTAAATGCAGTAACTTCTTATGGAATGTTTAAAACGCGTCATTTTCCTGCCTGGAGTTTCACAAGCAGTCTTAGCTTTAAAATTATTTATCTGGTCATGTTCATTATTTTTAAATTGTCATATACGTCAACAACCTGCATGTTAACCTGGCCCGTACATACGTTTTACTATATCTTCATGTCTTTTGAATTTAGAAATCATCTGAGTCGCCTTTAACATTTATCAATAAACCCATCATAGTTGTTGTTGCTAATCGTATTTGGGTTTATGGATTGGTTTATCATAGTAGCAGCCTAAAATGCAGACATACTTTAGATAATTAAATTACAAATTTAGGTACTATCAACGGCACTAGTAAAATAACTAAATCCCCAGGTAGCTGTTGACCAAACAAACGTTTAAAATCAAAACTCCGTAGCCTACTAAAATTACCACTAAACGAATATTTCTGAATTGAAAATTATAATATAATTAGGCGTCTCGGATTCTGTAACATAAATTTCCGATAATTTTGAATCACCTAAAGCAAAAATACCTATTTTTCCACTGGCTAATCCTCAATCAACACTATAACTAGTTAAATTTAATAGTTTCAGGATATCGTCATAAAGCATTGTCATAACTTGACAATCACGTAATATGTCTGATAAAATTAATGAAACTATTAACGAAATCGGTCAACAAATTGACTTATAATTACCATTAAATGGTGTTGTTTTCTTGGTATCTTCATCCATCACAGATGATTACAGTATGTTTCTCTATCAGCTGCTTATTCAGCAAATATCTCAAAACCTTGTCAGTCTAATTGATGGTTTAGCGACACAATCATGCATGCAAATAATCAGTATAAGCAGTCGAGCAAACCTCCTGCAAACTGAAAACATCAATGTCGAATTTACCCCAACACTGACTAAGGTTCAAGCCATTATCATAGACATGAGTTGGGAGTGTACTCCCCTTGGTTACAACTTATGTTCTCCCTGATAATCACATGAGCATCAATCATTATTAATCATCTTGTAAAAACTTATTTAGCTAAATACATCTTGCAGCACCACATCACTTAGTAATATGACCCATAGGCTTAACTGATTTTAATAACTTATAACCACTATATCTCAATTTAATCGTATTCCGCCTTATAATAAACTGCATACTTGCAACTTGTATGCCCAATCAGCCGGCAAGTATAAATACAAATAAATAGTCTGCCACAGATCAGAACATTGAGTCTAGAGCATGTCTCTTACGAATACACTCATGTTTAACGATTTGTTCCTAGCTATCTGTCCAAAATTCATATAATTACCACTCATGTACTTAAATTTTATTTCGATAACCATTCATGTGTATTAGTAGTATTACTAAATTCTATCACGGTCAAGTAAAAATGAGGTTGAGAAAATCTCCCCGTAACTAAATAAACCGTATCAAACTAACTGGAACACTAGTTGGAATTCTTCTCCACGGTATACTTTTGTTCCTTCAGTCAGCCTACTAATACAGATGCAATTGGAATTCAACTCTTATGGACAACTTACCGGCATAATCGTTATTTGATTTCATAATTTAAACCAAAACTAATACCAATATTAACATTCCTACAATATTCATCACTTTCATATTTCTAAACACAAAATACTTACTACCTATACGTTAAGTTATTAACCAACAGCTATTAACACGCATCGTTTTATTATTATTATTATTATTGTAACCCCATTTTTTATAGCTCAAATAATCTTCACCCAAATTTTCATTTCAAGCGTTTTAAGCATGAAGGCAGATATTTTAAAATTATTACATGTATTTCCCGACCAGATGCTGCCGCTTTCTTTTTGATTTATCTTTCAGCTTACCGATACCCGGAGGATTCTTATTATCCCTGGTAACCTCCGGCGCGCGACGATCCCATCCAATTTGGTATCGAACCAACATCACGTTGATTCTGGTGGGAGGGTAGTGTAGTGGCATTGGACAATAGCCACACAATCCACAAAGCTGTGAACGCGAGACTACTCAGAAAATAGATATTCAATATTTAACGCGGAGAAATACCTAACAATGGGGAAGGCGCGAACAATGAATTGAATGGACTGGAGTTGATCGGATGGCATGGCTCGTCCATGCAGGCGTGGTCCATCTCAATGTTACTTTATATCTTCTATTCATATTAAATATATTGTTCTTTCTCTAGCCTAACCTTGTTCTACAGCATGTATTGGTAATTGATACGATACAGTGAGTTGGCGTAGTCGATGGTGTGACTTCCACGTAAGATCTTATAGATTAGGCAGTTATATCATGACAAATCTACAAATTTAGGATTAGGTCTATTATTAGAGCAGTACTAATATCATAGTAGACCATAATTCTACAGAGTAATGATGGCTGTTTTTGCTATGTCCTCGGATGCTACTGGAATCTGGTGGTACGCTCGCACAAGATCAATTTTAGAAAAAATTTGCTTGCCATGTAAAGTGAGAGAAAAATCATGTAAATGAGGGATTGGGTAGCGATCCGGTAACGTGAGGTTGTTCAATGATCTATAATCACCACAAGGTCGCCAATCTTGGTCTCGCTTGGGCACCATGTGGAGTGGGGATGCCCAGGGGCTACTTGACGGACGTATTATACCTAGCTGCATCATATGATCATACTCAGCTTTTGCAACATTCAGTTTGTCTGGTGGTAATCGGCATGGACGTGCCGAAGTTGGTTGACCTTTTGTGATGATCCGGTGTGCTACAGAATGTTGGACAGTGTTTTCACTGTAGTCTGGTTTCGTTATTTTGGGAAATTTAGATAGAATGGTGGCGAATATGTCGTTCCCTGGAGTGTCAATTTTAATACTATGTATGTGGTAGTCCGACTGAATTCCCTGGATTTGAAGGTTCGTTCAGGAATCAATAAGTTTTCTTCTCTTAACGTCAACTAGTAGGTTGTAGAAACTGAGAAAATCTGCACATAGTATAGGGTGACGGACATCCGCAATAATAAACACCCAGGTTAAATTACGTCTAATTCCCAAGTCTAATGTTAGAAATTGTTCGCCAAATGTCTTTATTTCGGTTTTATTAGCTGCCCTTAGGGTATATTTTCCACTCTTAGCAATAGGTTTATTGGCTAAGGTAACTGGGATGACACTAACTTCAGCTCCAGTATCTACTAAGAATTTGTACCCTGAAGTTTTATCAAGAACGTGGAAAAGACGAGTAGGCGCACGACCAGAAACATTTGTCGCTACCATGGTTTGGTTGACACGTTTTGGTGAGGAAAATGACTTGAAAAATTTACAAGACGTAACACATTTCCTAGCTTTGTCACCATATTTTTTATGGTACCAACATATGTTGTCGTCGTTTTTGTTTCCTTTTGAGTTATTTCGATTCTTACTCCCTCGAGAACTAGAGCGAGGTCTTGTAGATGTGAAGTTGGAGATTAATAATTGTAATGCATCCAGTTTATTTTCAAGAGTGGCGACAGTTCGTTCATGTTGTGCTCGTAGTTCGCCTAGTTCAGCAGTTAACGATGCTATGGTGGGAGTTTGCTTATCGTTCGAAGTTTCTAATATTGCCTGTACGTAAGGTGTAGTACAGGGTGTAACTTCTAAAATTTTATCCGCCATGCTAGCAAGACTTTCTAAATCTGATGGTTGGCTAGAGGCGCAAAGAATTTGCCTAACTACTGTTGGCAAACGTTGTAGCCAAATCTCCTTGAGGAAGGCGTCATCAAATTTATTAGGGCCAGCTAATTGTCTCATGTGTCGTAATAATTGAGACGGTGATTTGTCGCCTAGCTCACATTTGTGTAGTAATTGCTGTAATCTCTTTTCATCAGATAATGAGGTACGTTGAATAATTGCCTGCTTCAATTGATCATATGGATTAGGTGCAGGAATATTATCTATCAAATCTGACACCTCGGATGCAACTTCAGTGGGTAGTAATCCAAGCACAAAAGAGTATTTAGATGCCTGTGAGCGTATGTTGCGACGCTGAAATTGTACTTCTACTTGCGCAAACCAAATGCGAGGATTTAATCGGGTGAATGGGGGGACATTTATCAAATTTAGAGCATGTAGCTCTGCTGAAATGTTATCCTGGCTAATGCCTTCAGTCTCGGATGAGTACATTACGAATATAAGAAAATTTAAATACTACCAAGGGTAAAATAACGCCGTAATGTCTGTAAGTGAACTCAAAAGTAGTTAAGAGAGAAAAAAAAATTTTACGGGCTCACCAAAAATGTTCAAATCATAACCTATGCACTGTTGAGACATTGGAGATCCACGAATTCAAGTCTGGGCTCTGCATGCAAAAGCGATGCGTCAAAACTCTCGTCCTTTCTTGGCACTAAGTCTTTTCAATAGTAAGTTTTTTTATATTTTTCTTTTAAAATTAATGACTAGTAAATTTTAAATCGTAATCATTTATTATCATCCCTTAACAGTTTTCTATGAATATTATTGTAATCATTTTGACCCCTAGGTTTTTCGTTTTTCTTCCTATCTGTGAAGTGGACAGTTATCTGTCATAATTCTGACCTACAAATTCTCTTTATCCACATGTCCTCAAATCCCCTGATTATAACATAACCTAATTTAATTTTTAGTTTCGAATCAGTTCATGATGCAACTATAACTGATACGACTATAAATACGAATTTAAAGCTCAAGCAAGTGGTCGGGTTGAAAAGAAATTTTTCGTCGAGTCCTCTTGATTTGATTTCGACATATTATTTATTGTACACTGAAGGTTTCGTTTTCGGCGGAGAGCGTTTTATAATTTGCGACTTAACATTTCAAGGTGATCTACTTGCAGATGCACTACATTCGCTGAAAGCGCCGAAGAACGACAAGGTATCTAGTGTAATTTATAAGTTTTAAACTAGTGAGAATTATGCTCTCTTTAGAACGGTTTTCTCGTTTTTTGTTTCACTGTCATCTGATTGATGATCTGAATGTTATAACTTACTCTGTAACTAAATTTTTAACAGATGGTTAAAAATATCTGAGTGAATAAAATGAAATTGGAATCCATGTTACTTGGACTTAGATGTACTTGGTTATCGCCTGTTCTTTATAAAATCCCCAAAGTAATGTGTTGATATACGTACTGTTGTGTCTCACTTTAGTGTAAATTACATGACTCCACTTGGTCCAAAGCAATAATGTTCAGCCTATATATTAATGGCTGGTTGGGTCTTTGGTATATTCGGAATTTGGTTTGCAAACTCAGTATTCAAGTTCGTAATACACAATCAATCAATTTTTTTGGTTAAGAATTATGTATAACCACAGACAATTTGGTTATTGCTCCTGAAATAATTAAAAGAAAATAGAAAGCGATTTTTCTTGATTTTGGCAACGTTTCGTCTCCACCTACTGAACGTCTTCCCTCATTCTTTGTATATACAAACATATGTTTGACACCATAAAATTGTTGACTGGCTTTCCCATATGTTACTATTAAAGGCCTCGTAGCGTAATGTAAACACTAAGAAAGAGACATTTATTTGTGGACAACCTTTGAGTGACACCAAAGTGACCTTTAGAATGTCCACCTACTAACTAGGACTAAATGATGGATATAAATCAGTGTGAGGAATAAGAATTATGATTTTTGAAGTTGATGGTTAGAGTTAAGAATTGGATTTAGGATTTTTATCGATGATGACATCAGTCAGTATGCAAAAAAATGCTTTTTAGCCGAATGGATGAATGAATTTCTCTCTAAAACCTTGGGCGTGTTATCCTAAATCTGATTGGTTCGTCCATAATTTATAGTCGCGCCGGTAATTTTTTTGTAAAAGTGTTTCACTCGTACGTTGTAATCAAATAGTTTAACACCGATGTATTTGTGATCCTCATATGCCTTACGTTAGTGTCTGGTAACACTGAGGCAGAGTTATGGATTATTCGTTTAGATTTCGTTAACTTGCACCATTTTAGTATGGGTTAGCAATCTGATTGCTCACTATAAATCCGAAAGATTACTCAAAAATTCATATTCTACCACTTAGCTGCTTTCATATTGCCTTATACTATAAGCTTCACATGTATAGTACAAATATTCTACCAGAGTTACATTATAAACCTAGTCAGTTTGAAGCAATGTACACTGGCAAAAGTTTCCATAATCCATACTACAGCCTCTACATTTTAAACCAACCTACCCTTCTCGACTTGTTCTTTAAGTAATTCAAGCTCACTAATGCTCCTTTCTAACTTTCTTGTGACACGACAGTCGGTAAATTTATGGTTTAATATTGACTGATCGTCATTTAATCATGTTGATTTTCACTTTTAGGTAATCATATTGTTTGCCTTTACGTTTCATGATATTAAATGAACAAAACTCAAGAAAGGTATCATTCATTGTTGAAAATAATTATCCTTTGGATTTTGTTTTCGTATAGTGTCATTTTCGGACTTCACTTTTCTATCCAGTTTATCAAATATCTTGGTAGACAATTAAAAAGAGAATTTCTTACCCCACTGATTTTTTTGCTCCTACTAATAATTGTTACTGGTCTTTGTAAGTGTAGAAAGAAACAAAAATAACAATAATCAACTTGTTTTCGACAGATGAATATTCTGCTTATCAAATCGGATTGATATCCTCCAACTTTTTTGATGCTTTGACTACCAAAAATTATGACAGATTTATATGGACTTTAAAATTATCAATAATGTATATATTTTGTGGCTCTTTGGTAAGTTATATCTAGCGCTGTTATACTGATTATTATGATTTTGTTTTACATAGCATTCACTATAGTGATTGAAACATCACAGAATTAATCAACATAGTATTTGGTGCAATAGTGCTTCAAGTTTACTTGGTACAACGTACAATATCGTGGTTTGAGAATTGGCTTAAAGGATAAAAGTGACGTGGAAAGTGACATAGGTAACTTAGTAATACTGTCTTTTGCAGTAGGGCTAGATAAAATCGATTTACCTATTAAAGCGGTTTATAAACTTTGATGACAATTTTGCCATTGTGATAAATATTAATATAAGTACAAATGTCCACAACGACCTTTTCTATTGACCGACACCCAAAATCGAAATCGAATACCACTCTAAATGTATAGGTTAGTACTCAGTAGATTGGAGATATGATTATCAAGATTTAGTAAATAACTAACGAGTATAGTTTTGAGACGGGTCAATTTTTAACCATTTTGCTTCTCAATATCAAACTATTAATTAACGAATGCATGATTTTCTACAGAGCTCGAATTGTTAATATGAATAACATTGTCTTGTTAATTTAAAGCCTTATCTACGTTAACTCTTCCGTCAAAGCATGGTTGACAATGTGCAGGATTATAAACGTGTTGACCTATTCTTAATGTGGAAGTTATTTCGTGCTTGATTGAAGTGTTGAAATTGTTAGTTATCGAATACTCACAGGTTTCTCACTTTTGCCTTCACATTTTATATCGTCTTAAAAACCTGAACATAGTTTGCTTGACATAAGATATTACTAAAACAGATACCCGTTATTTCTCGGTCTGATAAAGTAATTACTAAGTCAACTTTTCTACTTTTCACGGTGATCATTGCTGACATTAATTTTTAAAAATTTGCGTTTTTGTTCTCCATTTAGGCTCTAGGTGTACAAAATATGGTTGTGGGACAATTATCGTTAATATTACGTGAAATTTTAACCAAGAATTTACAAAGTCTATATTTTAAACGAAAAAATTACTATGTTGTAAATACTCTTACTGATTTAGACAACCCGTAAGTTTGTGTCTTACCCTCTCGTTGTTTTTAACTTGATTGATCATTAAAATATTTCCTTGTAGTGATCAACGTCTTACTCAAGATATCAATTTAGCTTGTGACCTGCTGACCAATATAATTGTATCAATAACTGTGAATCCAACATTAGTCGTATTCTATACATATCTATGTGTACAAAAGTAATGTATTTTGATTTCCCAGTTAATATGTTTTATTCCAGAGCTGGTTGGTTAGGTCCAGTCTCAGCTTACATCCTATTCATTATATTTGCAATAATTTCGCGATTCGTCGCCTCTTGGAGTTCTCGTGCTTCATTTGAACGTCAGAAACAAGAAGGCAATTTTAGGTAATTGTTAATTTTAAGTATCCTTTCATTTTTTTATTTGGTATTTAAAAGTTGTTTTCAAAGTTTATCTGAAGTTTCCATTATAATTTAGCGGAAATAACAATGGATATATGACCTTCTAAGTTAATAAATCTTATATTGACCAGATAAGCATAACAATTAACTTTCAATTTATCAAGAGAATAATTTATTCGGAATGCATATCAGCCCCTCTAAATGCAAATTGTTGCTTCACTACTGGCCTGTGTCAACACCTGAACTAAGGATAAGGGGTGAAGTAGTCAAACGCGTCGACAATTTCACTTAGCTTAGAAGTCTTGTCAGCCCTAATCGGTTGTTGTATGACAAAATCTCTGCTCATTTGGCTTTTGTTAACTTACGTAACCTATGGCGAAGGCGAAATATCCGTCTATCAATTAATGAACGGATGTACTCCATGCCAGTTCACTCTGTTCTAATTTACGGCTGTGAAACGTGGCCATTAAGAGTTGAAGATACTCGTAAGCTACTAGTATTTGACCACAAATCCCTTAGAAATATTTCTGGCATCTGCTGGGATCACCGGGTAAGTAATAGTGAGGTTAGACGCAGGGTATTAGAAAATAATGGTAAATCGACTGAGATGGTTGGGCCACGTGTTTCATATGCCTGAACACTGATTACCACGACGTGCAATGCTGACTGATGTTAGTGATTGTTGAAGGTTAGGGGCGGCCAAACCAAAACGTGGCACCAGTGCATGTAGTCACTAATCTCTGGTTTGAGCCATGTTGGCAGATGCAGACTAGTTGGTTGGGGTCTGTGGGGCTTTCGTAACCAGTGATTGGAGATTCTCGTTGACATGAATGAGAACCGATCACAATGGCGTAGGTGTATGCACTCTATGTCTTTCCTTTCATTGTGAGATTAAAGTTACTTTGTAACTTTCCTTCTACGAATTCTCTGTATTATATTCTTATATGCACTCTTTTTTTACATATTACTATAACTGTGGTAACTACTTGTAAGAATTCGGTGTTCATCTTGATGTAGTAACAAGGTACAGCAACTTAGACCAATGCATATATGTGCCTGGTCCTAAGTTGTAGCTGACTGACTAAATTTGTTCCCTTAATTTTGTCGGGAATTTCCTGCTTTATTATATCAGTGTGGAGCGCATATGCATTTCCTTTTTTGTTTTTCACCAAGTCTTGACTACATTTTCGTTTCCTGTTCATTTATTTTCTAGTTTTTGTTAATGTCATTTAAGTTCCTTTCAACATAATAATTTTTTCAGTTCCTTATTATTATTTTCGCTTCATTATTCAAACTAAAATCAAGATAATATAGCACTAGGTTGTAGATTTATGTAGTAAGTGAGTGCTTACTGTAATCAATGCATCTCATAAGAAGTCGCTATTTCACCAAATTTGCATAGCAACAGTATGATATAAGATAATAATAATAACGATTATCTACCAAGTTGTATAGAACATTTGAATAATTTTTCTCACCCACTTGTAATGTACATAGTAGAGTTACACATTATCGTCAATTTATATCCTATTGTACTGTTTGACGGTCCTAAATATAGATTTACTATAATACTTTATCAAATTTCTTGTTACTGATAACTAAAGCGAAATCAGAAGTCATTACTCAGTTGAGTAAAACTCGTAAGAAATGACATATTTACCAGTCAGAAGTAATTATTTGACGAGGGGACTTTAAAACATATCTTTAAAACTACAGATGAGCTAAGGACATTGAACATAATCGTGTAAATTTGTACAATGTAAACATAAATTACATTAGAACTTCCTTGAACGTGAAATTCATAAAGCGTTTTTCTTTAAACTAAAAGCAATAGCTAGTGATCTGGGCATATACTATTCTTGATGTTGGATTTAAAAATAAGTAGTATACACAAGACTCAGGAACTCCGCAAGACTGTCTTAAATCTAAGGCTGGATTTCAACAGTCATATTTTTCTCTGAATTTCTATGAAAAAGCTAATTCAGTCGATTTTTTTTTACTCATTGGGATGTAACAAAAAATATATTTATTATCAGTCGATTGTTTTCAAAAAGGCAATAACTGGAGTGGATGAGTTATATGATGTGCATGTCAAGATTCTACATCGAGGAACTATTCTGGCTTATACTGAATTGTTTTAAAAAATAAACTAACTGTGGCCATACGAGTATATGGTTCATGAAATTATTTAATTATGTACGAAGGTCTACATGCAAACACTTATCAGTGTTACAAAAAGTGATTAACTCCAGAACCTGGAAGATGTGTTTAAAAGTCATTCACACTGGCATGAATTAAACCACTTCCTATCTAGTGGACTTGAAAATTTTTGTTATGTATCACTTATTTCCGTTTTTTATCATCTCTCTCTATCCCTATCCTTCATGTCTCGTTTTGTTATCTTTTCGATTTTGTTAAATCTCTATTCTTCTGCAGCAGTTATTAAATAGAATCTCGTATAGACTTTTGTTCAATGCTCTACATTGACATACTCCAATGCAGTTATTTGTTGGTAGATTCCAGTTCTAGATGAAAGCTATTGTCGCATTTACCGGTTTCTCAGATTATTGATTAGGACCTGATTACTCGTTGTTCCATTTTTTGTTTGCTTAAAGCCGTTTTTGTAAATCGAAATGAAGCAAAATATATTATAAATTTATTTCGCCACGTTTTTTCTCGGGTTTTTCTCCTTTCTCTTTTTGTAATTTACTGTCAGTTGTTTCTTCACTTTTTATTTTCAGGTTTGTTCATACAAAACTAAGATGCTCAGTCGAAAGTGCTGCATTTCTTGATTTGAGTGAATCATTAAATGCCATTTCAACGAATTCATTCAATCGGTTATTTCATGCTGTACGAGTTTTTATTAATCGTAATGCTGTAGTATTTTGTAAGTTATATATATGTATGCATTCATCACTTCTGTAAGCTAGGCAGTTTGATCTTGAAGTTTTTATTGTCTATCTAGGCAACAGTTTTTGATATAACCAACTGTTTATTTTATCTACCTTGAGTTCACTTGAATGTTGTTAATGCTTGTCCTTTCATTATGTAGATATTTATTTTCACTTTTTTAATCCTTTGACCTGAATCTCGCTGATGCATCTGAGGATGAAATTATGAATGATTAAAAAACTGAACAGATTGCAATAAAAATTACATTGGACAAATTGGCATACCTTCCTTATCTCCATCTGAATGAACTCCGATTAGCTGTAAAACACCACAAAGTATCCTGAATCCTCCTTGTCTCTTTTTTTTTCTCTTTCCAAATTTATTTCACTGGATTATACTCTTTAAATAACATCTTCAAACTCTAATCTTTCCGATTACTGCTTATACTCTTACCACCTCTATCACTACGGGATTTGAGTCGACCACTGCATCTCTGTGCTAACGTGGTGTGGCAACTCGAACTGATGTACGTACGTACAAAGTTCTACGTTGTTACTGACTGACTGACCACAAAGTATCCGCTTATATCAATACACAATCAATTCTAGGCGCATGTTCGACTAAGAAGGTATTGAAATCTTGGATAGAGAGACCTGGGGATTTTTAGAGGTTTGGCACCGTGTATATCATCAACCAGTAGATTTATCGAAATCGGTCCAGTTTGTCAATTAATCCAAAAAACCCATAAGCAATAAAACGGTTAAGAGTCAGGCAGTAAGGGTAAAGACAATGGAAATAAACATTCAGATAATAACTCGACAACTGTTGACAACAAACAATCATCTTCAGGGTGGACAAATATGCTGTTCGTTATATGTAGAAAATTTTGAATAGTGCACTTCTATCTGGAGTTTATGCTGGCGATGAATACTTGACGATTAAACTATCCAGCTTTGAGAACCCAGTTTTACCGAAATGTGAGCGATATGCTCACCAGGCCAGTTGGCTGAACTTTATAAGCATAAGCATTGGTTTAATAAAATTTAGTTTAAAATGATAAACAGAAAGTATGTAGCGTCTTGTTTCATTTGTGTAGCATCCCTGCAAATTCCTATAATATCTGTTTTGAACATAGAATTGTCTTCAACTATTGTTTTAGCCAGTAAACCAAACTAATAAATTAGAAAGACTGTAATTGATGCTTTGTGTTTTGTTAAAATATAATAAATATACGAATCAGATACTATAAGCTAAGTAATTTCCAGTCCCAGTTTTTCGTTGTTAATCTGAGATTATCAATTTAGTTCCGCAGTATTATATGGTAATGAAGCTATGTAGTTTCAAAGTTCTTAAAAACACTTCTTCTAGACTGAAGCGGAGTTTCTTGTTGAATTCTTTAAACATATTCACCAAAGAATATGTTGCGCATATTTGTTTTTCTATGCTATCTGTTGTTGTTTATATTCATATTTCTGACCAGATTTAACACAACTTAATGCATATTGTGGTGGTGTAGTAAATTATGTCGCTCTTGGAATCATTCTGTTCAATGGTCCAATTCGAACAATGTCAGCATCTGAAATCACTGTTCTTATTAGTCAGGTAAATAGGCATCAAATAATCCGTTATGTGTATACAAATTTTAGTTTTCGTTGTTGCTGATGCTGCTACTTGAACTTTTTTCTTGACAATCCACATCTTGTAAATTCTAACAGTTAATCCCCTGTTGATTTTACTGTGTGGTATCATTGAATTTGTCTGGTATGTGGTTTATGGCTATGGTTAGTTGAGTGTGTTATCTATATATGTATGTATAGACAAGGTGGATAAATGTTCTTACCTTACTATCACGCCTCTGTATTATCGAATGATAAGTTTTGTTGAATTCAGTTCGTTCGAAAGTGGGGAACGTAAACAGGTAATAGTATCATGGGTTCGCAAAATCCAGTAAATAAAAATAACAACGACGATTGTCTTATTATCTAGTTCTTAATGCTAATCGAACTCTATTTGATCACCTTTGCAATGTGGCCATTAAGCTGAATGAATCGGCATTTCTGTGTCCTTTGTCTGATATTCGATATTTGGAGGCGATTGGTAAAATAATCCGGAATATTGGTTTCTTACTAATTGGGGACCACAATATTTAGGTGGTAAAGTTGTCTTTGACCGCCACACTAGACGATTCAAATTCGAATCTCCAGAAAGTTATAATCAATTCTTGTTAATGAGTGCCAACCACTACGAAACGGACCTAGTAGTCCATTTCCTCAGTAACCATCTGACAGAAAAGGAAACAAACCAGGATAGTAATTTTGCGCTACACAATTCAAGCACTTAATTCAATTTTTTAGTATGTTCTTGGGGAAGAAAGTTTAATTTTGAAATTAATGATCTATTTCGGTGGAATTCCGAAGTCTTCATTAATCATGAAGCCAAGTTACTAAAAGGTCCATATGATAATCTTCAGTCTTCAGTCTTCAGTCTTCAGTAATAAGGATAGTAGGTTGATGAACCTGTGTTAATCCTGGCACATTGCTTTCCAGTGAAGGTCCAGCTTTTCCTTGAAAGTATTCACTGATGGGGCTGATACCACTTGTTCGGGTAAGGCGTTCCAATGATTGACTACTCGATGAGAAAAACGGGATCCCACTTTAAGTTTATTAGATCGTGGTTTATGAACCTTCTTGCTATGACCTCGGAGATTATTAGTGCTGGAGGGAGCAAAAAGATAAGACATATTAACACCCAAATCATAATTAAAGATACGAAATGCCAGTATAAGGTCACCTCGTGTCCTACGATACGACAAGGGGAAAAGATTTAGGCGCTTTAAGCGCTCATCGTAAGGAAGTCTAGAAAGACCCTTCACTAATTTCGTTCCCACACGCTGGACACGCTCAAGGGAGTTAGTATCCTTTACTAGACACGGGCTAGCTGCTTGGATACAGTACTCTAAATGTGGTCTAACATATATGGGATATAAAATTCGAAACGTTTCCTCGTCAAAAGATTTGAACGCTCGGCGAAGTGACCATAACGCACGAAAACCTTTGACAGCGGCTGCTTTGCAATGCGCAGTTGTTTTTAAGTCATGACTTAATATTACTCCTAAGTCCTTATGCTCTTGAACGCATGGAAGAGGTTTACCCTCAATAGTGTAACGGTAACTATTACCGTGACCGACGTGCATTAGTACACTCTTCCTAGTGTTGATTTCTAAGCCCCACTCTCGAGCCCATCCAACTAAATCGTCTAAGTCAGCTTGAAGATCCACATGATCAGCCGCACTTTTTATTGTTCTCCAGATTTTTACATCATCTGCAAACAATAATGTTGACGACCTAAGTAACAGTGGTAACTCATTAACGTAGAGAAGGAAGAGCAGAGGGCCTAAGATGGTGCCTTGGGGTACACCACTTTTGACCGGCTTCCAATCGGATAGCGTTCCATTGACCCTAACTCTCTGTCTGCGGTCACATAAGAAATTTCCTATCCACTTATGTACAGTACCTATTATTCCGAAGCTCGTGAGCTTCTGCATAAGACCTACGTGTGAAACCTTGTCAAACGCTTTGCTAAAATCTATGAATATCACGTCGACAGACAGACCGTGATCTAGGGCTGCTGTCCAATCCTCCCTCGCAATAAGCAAGTTAGTCAAGCAAGAACGCTTGTTACGAAATCCGTGTTGCTCAGGAGCTAACAGATTGTGTGAATCTATGTGGCTTAGCAACCTAACCCGAATTATCTTTTCGAGTAACTTAACGACTATGCTAGTTAGACTGACAGGCCGGTAGTTAGATACTATCTGTCGCTGACCGTCCTTAAATATAGGACTAACTATAGCGTCCTTCCAATCTCTAGGGAGTTGAGCGAGTGAGAGGGACATGTTGAAGAGTGTCGCAAGCGGTTTTGAAATAATGTCCGCAAGAGATGATAGCAACCGTGGATGTAACCCGTCAGGGCCCGGTATCTTACCAGGTTTGAGGTTAGTTATCAACGGAAGGACAGTTTCCTCAGTCACCTGTACAGATTCAATGGTTGGTATCTCGGTGTGAGTGGGACAAGTACTTGTTACAATAAACGTAGAGAAGACTTCGCTAAAATAATCTGAAAAAGTCTCAGCTTTTGCTCGATCTGATTCAGCTAGTAATTCTGAATTTTCGTGTAACAGCAACGGGGGAATACCATCACTACGTTTCATTTGCCGTTTAACATACGAAAACAATCGTTTCGGACAAGTACGGCTATCATATACTAACTGTCGTTCGTAAGTGGTACGGGATTTCGCTATGGTTTTCTTACAGATATTACGGTATTTTTGATACTCACGCTTAAATGGTGCATGACCTGTCAACAAGAATAAGTCCCAGAAATGTTTCCTACGCTTTAACAGCTTCCGGGTTTCCTTATTAATCCATGGAGGGCAATGTGATAGCTTACGTGCTGACCATGGGATAAACGGCGACGTTACGGACTCGAATGTAGCCTTAAACTTATTCCATTCATCTTCGATCAATCCATCCGCGTCGACTGACCAATCGGTCAAGATAGCACGGTTTCTGATTTCCGGAATATTAGCTCGCCAAATATTGGGACGGGGTGGAGCAGATACGAATTGTATACCATGCGTCCTAAACTTAAAGTGAATTACAACGTGATCACTGTTCACTAGTGGAGGAAGGTGCTGGATATCAAAGACATCCTCAGAGTGGTGGGTGAGGGCGAGGTCCAGCAGTGACGGAACATGTTGCAAATCAATATGTGTCGGTTTCGTGATACATTGTACAAGTGCACACTGAATAACGGTAGATAAAAGGTCGCTATCGAAACCACTACCTGGAGCTGTAAGCTCTATCCAGTTGATATGCGGTGCGTTGAAGTCCCCAATGATGAGACAACATTCTGCCATACTCCAAGAACAGATGTGTCTTAGGATAAAGTCGTCAGCCAGACAAGACGGACTACGGTATATTCCCCCTATAGTCACTAACCCATTTCTAGATTTAATCTTGCAACATGCAACCTCACATGTGCCACTGATATGAGCCTCCGATATGGTTGATTGTATACGAAAATGATCCCTAACGTAAAATATTATACCTCCCCCCTTGCGACTTGAAACTCTATCACTTCTGATACAGATATAACCAGCAATGAAAGGAGAACAGTCTATATCTACGGTGAACCAAGTTTCTGTAACAACGATTATATCGGGACATAATTCTTGCACCATCAGACTTAGCTCGGACGTTTTATTTCTAAGACTACGAGCGTTCGTGTAGCACACACTTAAGGTGTTTTGGAGATCAATCGTTCTACCCATACAGGCCTCGGAAGCATTGGCTTCCAAGACCTGACTACCCGAAAACCCTTAATGGTAAGGTTATTTTCGCCATTTAATTTGCGAGTCCTCAACTCCGTAAGAGCATTCTTCCACTTGATTCGATCCTCAAGCGGCCAATCTGGTCGAATACGGATATTTGAGGCACGAGTTTTTAGTGCGCTTTTCAATAATATGTCTCTTTCTTCGAAACTCCCGAGAACCAGCTTCAGGATCCTTCTTGGTTGGGTCTCGCCTCCAACCCATTTACCAAGTCGTATTACTTTTGTAATATGTACCCCTGAAACCTCTTCAGGTAGTACATTCCTCACCACAGACTCCACTAACTGCAGGTCATGTGCGTGTCTTTTAGCAGGGTCGTTGTCTTTCGACTCCTCTAGATTCCAAATAATTAAACTAGGGATGGGTTTAGCTTCTTTTGAAACTGTGTTCACAGCTTTCGACCGTGACGTTAGATCCTGTATTTTAACTACTGGTAGCTTACGATTAGTTTTTATTTTAACAGAGTCCTGGGAGTCAAGCGAATGACTAACAACAATGTCAGACGAAGCTTTACTATGAGACTTTGGCGGATTGGTCTGAGAGTCCACCAAGGACTTACCAAGTAAACAGTCCTTAGTTTTAGCTATCTTTCCTACTCTTCTGCGTTTTCGCGTCATCCATTTTCCATCAGACGAAACGTCTACATTAGAACAACTCGGGACAGTAATTGTTTTATCTGGGTCACCGGTTGCTGCTGTAGCAATGTGGCCACCAACGTCTAATGACATGTCACTCACTGATCGTTTCGGGGGAGAACGTTTAACTGCGGGTTGCACAGGTAGATGTCTAGCTTGCGCCGTGATAGCACTTACGACACTAACGCAATCTTCGCCATCCGTACCAATGTTATCAGTACAGCCCTCATCAACCTTCTTATTAGCCAACACCAGGAGACTAATTGCTTCCTGGATAAGCAATGTTTTGCTCGAGCAACAAAAACTACAAAGCCAATGAGAGTTGGGCTTTGAGCACCTTTTATATGCAGTGGGGCTTAATCGGGTGCACATCTTATGGAACCATTTATTACACTCATCACATTGCATCCCTTCATCCACGGGAAATAAGCAGTATGGTTGTCCACATTTATGAGTAGACCGAGCCATCTTGAAAATCAACTAGAACGGTGACAAAAACAGGATATTTAAAAGGATTTTCAAACCTTAACTAAATAAACCAAGTAAAAGTCGACCAAGTATGCTTCGATGCAATAAATACACAGAAGCAAAATCGAAAAACTCAATAAAATATCACTTTAACTGGGGTAGATGCAATTAAAGTATAAACAGTAGTTTTGATGCGTAATTTACGATCAAAACAGTTAATTAACTCAACGAGAAAGAATACCACTGTCCTTTTAAATAGAGCGCGTCAATTGTCACATTTCTTTCTGACGAGAAACACTTCCAATGATATATTGATTATTGTTGACTGATTGGTGGATTAAAAAACCTTTGTTCCTGATTTCTCTGTCTAGTTGGTGTGTCGTAAATTTCATAGTCTATATGTGGTGGATAAATTCCATAGATAGATCAACGAGAAACGCAAAAAATTAATCTAATATTGTTAAGTATTTCTAAAGACTAAGTATTTATGTTGAAATTCAACAAATATTTAGTTATTTATCTAGATCTCGAGTTCGGGAACAAAACGCTAATCTATGGACTCAATCACGTAATTATTGAGGCGGTAACTCAAAAATGTCATTACTGTATAAAAAGTCAATTGAAGTTGGAATTTTGCACCATTAAGTTTCAGTTCAGTCATACCGTGTTTACCTGGACATATGTCCTGGATTTAACCCTGTTTACTGGGTGCACATTGTTTATGAGTTTTAAATCTAAATAAGATTGCAACTTAGTGACTTTTCCTTCATTTTAAAATTATTTCTCAATGAATATTACTTCGATTTTTGGTGGCTCAGTTGTTACGATACTCAAATTACAACTACTAAGCCACAGTTTAAAATCCGCCTCTACCTATTTCAGTTTAGACATTCGAGTATTAACACTAGCCCTTATAATTGAAGAATGGCTCAAAGTTAAGAATGCAAAGATTTGTACATATCAATTGAGTATTAAAATTTTTGCTGCAAAATTATGAATGCAGTTCACAAAAAAATCTATTCTATTATGTGGTTTGATGTAGTTGGGAGAAGAACCTAAACTTATATTTTGTCCATATCTACACTAGTCATGCTACTTATTGTCTAAAAATAATGATTATTTTTGTGTTATAATTTTCTTCCTATGAAAATAAATATTAAAGTAGTATCTTTTTGTTCTTTTCCTTATCTCCTCAAATACACACAAATAATTCTAGACTAGTTTCTTTCTTCTGTATTTAATTAATAAATTAACAAATTTAATTAATTTATCTACTGATATTGCTCAATTAGTTGGTGTTGGACATCGGTATGTAAAATAAATATTTATGATTTTGATCAATTTCAAAATGTAATGTTGAAATTAACACTCAGTTTTTATAAATGTTTATATGTTAGACAAGAATTAGGTCTGATAGTCGGGTCTTAATTACATTGACATTTAAGTGCTGTATAAAATTTAAATCATCTTCCAGAAGTTTTTGTTCTAGTTAACTTCTCAGTCTGTCATACACAACGTAAAACCTGGAACATATGTACGTCGGTTCAAATTACCATACCCTACTAGCTTAGCGCCCGACCGTTGTTGCTACCTTGACGTGGTGGTCGGGCTTGCTTATCGTGATGAACCAAACGAGCTACACTGGCTGGAACAACTGTTCCTCAAGGTCCTACCATACCAGACAGGTCGGTTGAAGAGCGGTAAGACTAAAAGCAACAAACCAAAGGTCCGAAGGCAAAATCGTACTGCTGACTGTACAGAGGTGTGACAACAGTAAGGTGTTTTCTTCAGACAACCAGCATAACAGCGATGCTGCCTTCCCACAAGGAGGAGTGGGGTTAGAAAAGGTCGACCCTAAAACTGCACACTCCACCTTATCCCACGGATATCCGTGTCCGACAGTAAGGTTCCAATACTTACGGAGCTAACACGAAAATTACCCACAAAAGGTCGTGTGTGACTGACCTCAATCAGATGTCCCTCGGGCACTGCGGTCGTGCTCTCAGGTCACTAAGACTACCTCTAATCCGATTTCCTTTTCAGGCACCTCTAGAAGAACCCTTCCACGGTGTGGGCAACCGGGAAGTGATAACCGCACTCATACCTCTAACAGCACATCTGACTGACTGTCTGACTAGATTAGCGAAATGAAATTTCCAGGGGAGATCCCATAGTAGTTGTATTAGTAAAAGTATTAGTGACAATACATGTCTTAATCGTCTCAGTCGATAAAGATTAAATACCTCGTCAATCGATTTGCCATCCTTACCTAATGCCCTGTGTCTAATCTCAGAATTGGTAACTCGATGGTCCTAAAATATCCAAAAAATCTCTCGAAGATACCTACAACCGAATACTAGCTGCCTACGTATATTCTCTTTCATTACGGACTATGTTCCACAGCCATAAAATATAATGGAGCGAACTGCTGCATAGTAAACTCATCCTTTCGTTAGTAAAAGTATATCTCGCCTATGCCATAAGTGATCCCAGTTAGTCAAGACCAACCGAGCTTTGTGAATCCATGCTGAGATTTTGTCAGACACTAACCCACAAAGGCTGATGAGACTTCTAAGATAAGTAGTTGACACGCCCAACTATACTCCCTATCATTAGTTCAGTCGTTGATGTAAACCAGTTCTGAAGCAACAGTTTTGGACCTGGATGGATATAAACACATCACAAAAGCTCTAGCACTTTTTTCTTGAGGCGTTTGAAAGCCTACTTTTTTCAGTGTCTTCATGAAACAGGACTATGTCATTTGTGTATTCTATGTCAATATGTGAGAATCTCCTGATTAAAGATCGATTCCTGGAAATTCAGACGTTGTGAGGTATCGCTGCAAGCATGCCGTTGAAAAAGTTAACTAAAAATGAGGAAAATGGACAACCCTGACTAGCAATGTTTGAAGTTATCGATCTCGAAGGCAGTTCACCACAAGCTCTGACTTGACGAAATTATGTGTATGCACTCTTTATTGGATTCATAGTCTCCACTTAGGTTGTAAAATAAAATCTCCAATACTCTTTACCCTCTAATCAGAATTCTTTAATCAATAACAATATGTGATGGTGACCATTTTTAAACTTTGGAAATATCTACGGTTTAAAACACTGTAATGAATGAAATGAAAATTTTATTGTTTATTTGATGTTCAGTTGTATCTTACCTCTTTTTTAAACAATCAATTTCCAATAATTTTATGATTATTCATTTTCTCTTTCTTTTTACTCTTGTAAAATTAGCATTTTAAACTTGGACAAATATTTAAGAGAAATTAATTTATATGATACTCCAGCTGCTTATATCACATCTTATCAAACTCAATGGTTATTTATTAGATCAAAAATATTCAGGTATGATTCAAAGGGTGATAATTTCCTGTTCTCTTCTCTTTTTTTCGTTGATCAGTTTTATTAACAAGTTTTGTTTAATAAAAAGTATTCGTTGGTATATATTACCTTGTCTAATTACCAAGCATTTAGTTTCGTTGTCGCTAAACTCATCACCGCCTATTTTATGTAGAGATGTGTGAGCTGTTCAATTATTCCACAATCTTTTTGATTGAGGTCATGAACCGATAGAAGTTAGACCACCATTGAAAACCTGGGAGCACTGGACGGCTGTTTCGTCCTATTGTGGGACTGAATCAATTGTTTGTTTTTCAAAGCGACAAAAGTAATTTCCATAGACATAAAGAGTTCATCATTTGTGTGCGCATCCACGATCCCGCTCGCGGGATTCGAACCCGAGGTCTTCAGCCTCGCGCGCGAACGCTTGACTTACTGGACCACTGAGCCGGTATCCAATGGTGTTGATGTCTAACCTCAACCAATCCACGGAATTGCCCGACCTTCTTCCATTGTACTGAGGTAAACACCTGTCTCTACCTGACACGGATTAGCTCCACTGGTCATGGATTCTGACTAGAACTCCGAGAATTCCCTCACAAAGCTAGTCATTAGTGAGCCCATGATACTTACCAGTATAGGGGTTGTGGAGATCTCCATCAACTCGATTAAAGCTCCAGACATTCGCTTTTCGCCCTTCCATTTTTGTGAACAACATCCCCTCCGCGAGAAGGCAGTGAGTAGGACTTCCCTTGCGGTGACTGTATGCACGTGACCATGTGAAAGGATTTCAAGCGGGAGAGCGGACTCCCCTCATCCTCGGTCATACCAGCTAGGGGGGCAAATAGGAATAATAACGAGGCGGATTGCATGCATATAGCATTCAAACCTCTTTAAACCTAGGACACAGTATTAACGTCATTCACCTTCCCATCGCCCCTGACAAGTCAGGCAACCCGAAAGTCAAGAGAATACTATCAGGGCATACGAAAGGCTCGGTACCCTCTAGATGGAATACTAGGTATGCCCAGTGTCCAATTGAGTAATAAATATAACTAGTATTTATTTTAATATTTTAAATTATTAGCTGATCAATAATTAGTTTATGCAACAAATGTATATGTATATAACTGAGCTACCCTATCCACAACCAACACAATGTATGACCGATATATCTACTTACACTAACTGATCAATCACTAATGTATGCTAACTGTCATGAAATTTAGATTCAGTGCATCCTAGCTTTTGCTTCAACACAACCTAACATCAAAACAGTGCATAAAATAACATCGAATCACTTAGAATAATGCCCTTCACTTTAGAATTCGTTCAATACTGAGGGTTATATCGATTACTTCTCATTGGTTAATCAATAATGTAAACTGACATAATCTGCGTATACAAAGTATCTCACTATTTTTTGGTTCATACATTTGACTTCCGTTTGTGTTGCATTGCGCTTAACTTTGGGATATTTAATATTGTATTGGTTGATAGTTAGTTCGACCATCTTACAAAAGTATGGTCGAAGTTATGGGCAGTTTCTACGTAAGGTACTTCTTCAGTTTTTATACGGAACATGATATTCTTGATGGAAAGCATCATCTATCCGTACCGTAAAATTCTGTATAAGGTAATTAATCATGTTGAGTAATTTCCCATCAATTTAAGCTGGTATTTGAACCATTTTTGTTGTGTTCATTAGGGTATTTAATGCATTGTAAATAAAACTTACACGATACAGTATATCATATTTTTTGCATCTTTTTATATGTAATTGAATTTAACACCATATCAATGGAGTAACTTAACACACCATCGTAATATTCAACGACGAATTTCACATCTTGTGCAATTGCTTGTTATACAACCTGAATTCCTGATTTGAAATAGATGTATTTGGGCGGTGTTTGAAAATCAAATGCTTAGACCATCACAGTTAAATCTAAGATCATGTAATGTATTTTGAGGATATCTCTTTTTCACAAAACAATAAATTTGTTTTAAAAATTTCTATTTTCTTTTTCTCATCCTAGCCCCATACACGATATCATTGACAGGGATAATAATTGTTTACTGGATGATATTGTTTTTCAAATCAATCATGTATCAATATGTATTCCATTGAATCCTAATAATGTTTTAATTCATGGTATGTTAATAATTTTGATTCTCTATTTTAATGTACTGGCACTCACGGTAGAATTTGACCAACACTAAGCAAGAATTGATATACATGGCATTGGCCATTATTCAGTGATCAGTCAATTAACAATAAACCTCAGTCCTATATGAAATCAAAAGCGGTTTAGATAGCTCAGTGGTAGCGTTTCTGACCGTAAAGCTAGGTGATATAGGATTGAACCTTTCAGAGGGCATCAGTTCTCTCAAGATTACAGGTACACCTTGTTGACAAGTGCCAAATAGCACGAAACCTAGGTTGACGATTTCCTGTCGACTACCTCTAACCACTGTTTTACTCATGGCAAATTCTCTTCACCTTAGCAAGAATGTTGATTAACGCCTGTAAATACTCGCGATAAAAGTATGGAAAACACATACACTATATGCAATGGATTGAAAACAACACCTAACATTTGATAGTTATTATTTTCGAGTTCAACGTGTGAATATATTTTGATGCAATCGATATTGTGAAAAAAAAGATCTCTGTCGGAATTTAGAAAAGAAAAGATTTAAAAAAAATTCGAACAGATTACTAAGTAAACGCAAATAACACACTTTTATCTCAGTTTCAGTTTCAGTTTGGAAAGGACATGAGGCTTGATGGACTGTGTTAGTCCTGGTAATTGTGGTCTCTCAGTTGATCCAACTTCCTTTTGAAAGAGTCGATGGATGGAGCCCCAACCACGTGCTGAGGTAATGAATTCCACTCGTTGATGATTCTATGGAAAGTCGATAGTCAACTGACAAGTAATTTGTTCTGGGCTTATGAAAACTTTTGGACTGTCCTCGTAGATCCTCTGTTTTGGAAGATAAAAAATGAGGGCATATCTGGTGTAAATTCATCACCAAGTAATTTGATAGCTGTAATCAAGTCCACTCTAGTTCTTCGATAAGACACCGGGAATAGGTTTAGCTTAGACAGTGGAGCGTCGTACGGGGGCCTCGCTATTCGGGAAATCAGCTGAGTTGCACTTCATTGAACCCTTTTCAGAAGCTCACTATCTATTTTTAAGCAGATCCTAGCCGCTTGTATGTATTACTCAAGTTCAGGACCCATTAATGCTGAATACAAAGTCGAAAAACGTTTTAGCATCGACATGACTGAAGGCCCTACGTATTGACCATGGGGTTCTAAAGCCTTTGACGGCTATTGCATGGCAGTGTGCAGTGGTCTTCAAGTCCTGGCTAACAATTACTTTTAAGTCACTGTGTGTCTGGACAACAGGTAGCTGAGTGTTATTCATCGTGTATGTATCTATACCTTCATGGTCGATATGCATCACAACACACTTGGAAGTATTTATCGGCAACTGCCATGTTTGAGACCACGCAGATTATTTCTCCAGGTCATTTTGGAGTTCTAAGCTACCACCCTTACTTCGTATCGCTTTCCACATCGTGACATAGTCAGCATATAGCAAGACCGATGATGATAGTAGACGAGGAAGGTCATTTACTTACAACAGGAATAACACTGGCCCCAAAACTGTACCATGGGGCACTCCACTGAGCACAGTTTCCCAGCTAGATAACTTTGAGTTCACTCATACTCTTTGTTGGCGGCCAACTAGGAAGTTATTTATCCACATCAATAGACTGCCTCCAATTCCGACATTTCTCAGCTTATATAACAGCCTGATGTGCGGAACTTTGTCAAAAGCTTTGCTGAAATCAATGTAGGCTATGTCTACAGGTAACTTTTGGTCCTTAAGAGCCATTAATAAGTTAGTGAGACAAGAATAACCTATTCTGAAGCCGTGCTGCTTCTCCGAAAGGATCCGGTTTTATCGAGATACTTAAACAGCTCCTTCCGAATAATCTTTTCTAAGATTTTAACAACCACACTAGTTAGGCTAATGCGTCGGTAATTCTCAGGTTTGTTTTTCGTACCTGTTTTGAAGACAAGACTTACTATGGCGTTCTTCCAGTCTTTTGGTAAACGACCCTGCGTTACGGATAGATTAAAGCGCATACTTAAAGGTTTCGCAATAAAGTTAGATAATTCCTTTAGTAGCCTAGGATGCAATTCATCGGGCCCCGTGAATTTACCTATGTCAAGCTTATTTAGCAGACCAAAGACATCAAGTTCCTTAATGGTCACGCTATCCAGTGTATGTGTGGGGGGATTTTTATGCGCTGACGGGAAGGGTGGTTCTATGGTATATACATTGCTAAAGTAGTTTGAGAACACTTGAGCCTTACCAAAGTCGTCCTCCACTAATGATGCGGAAGTATTTTTGTTATATCCCAGTGAGTAGAAATGTGTATTTCCAACGTTTCATGACTTAATGTAGGTCTACTCATTGGGATATAGAAAAAGTATATTTATTATTAACTTTCTACCCAATACTCAATTTATTTGAAACTATCAAATTCAACCTTGGTATTAATACTTATAGTAATCTTAAGTAGTCGAAAACAATTAGTGATATATTAACGGGAATTCGAAACAATAGGATAATCTGAAGTATACATGTCTAACAATTAGGTTTAAGGTCGGCTACATATTATTCAGTATGATATCTCTTGAAAATGAATTGATTAATTTCAAAGATAGTTTTGATTGCAAAAATTTATCATCTTTATGGTAATTGGCAGTTATCAAAACTATTGAGAAAGGGGAGAGTTAATGGTACATGAAATTACTTTTCATTCTGAACTGAATGATTTTACGTGAAAACCTATCCTTATTACAAAAAAGATAACCAATATCGTCAAGATTATTGCTTTCTCACTCGTTAAGCGTACTACAAAGAAAATTACTTTTTACAACAGAACCTGTTGACGGCAATACTAGACTAGAATAATAGTAAAGAGGAAAGCTTCGATAGTTGGTAAAAATAATGTACCTGATTAAGAACACAGGTAAATGAATGTGAGACTGTTAAAATTGTCTATGAAATGAGTGAAAAGAGAGTCTCCAGTTAGCGCCTAACGTTTGTACAAGATTTAGCCAATAGTGACTGTGAATGTGGGAAATAGTAATTGATAGATTGGGCATAACTCAAGAATGGTAAACCGTATAATAATAGTTCATAGGTCAAAATGAGGCTTATAATAGGAGGAAAACGAATATGAATAGTCTAGTTATTTAACAATTATACGATAAATATATACGTATAGTTTTAGTCTAGAAATAGATTCCAACAGTTACCATGCATTATTCTCATCAGGATATAACAACCACTAGTACACCATACTTATTAACTTTTTTTTCTTCTATTTCACTGTAGATGAACATTTTTTTTAATTTGTCTAAACTTTTTCTCTTTATAGACTTATGTTTAACTATTAAAAAGCATGAAGCCCTACTTATCACTGGTCCGAGCGGTGTTGGTAAAACTGCTTTATTTCGTGTTTTAGCTGGTCTATGGCCAGGTCTCATCTTAATGAATAATAATTCAGGGAATAATAATGCAATCAATTCATTATATCATTTCTACCAGTCGGATAATTTCCGAGTTGTTTTTATTCCACAAGTATTATACATACCATGGATGACAATTCAATTAAATAATGAATTTTACAAGTTATTAACAAGTTTACATTGTTTCATGATGGCATCAAATTCATTAATATTATCGAATTTCCGTAGAGAACTACATTTGTGTTATTTATTATTGAATATAGCATATTCTTTCGATAGTCAATCTACTGGTGGGCTTGATGCTAGAGCTACAACATTTGATATTGACAATTCTGAAGCAAGTAAGTAATTGCTTTCAATAGATTCTTGTTTTCTATTCATCCAAGATAGTTCTCATATCAGTGTGATAATTGCTTAAAACTCATTAAAAATTGAGGACATTAGACAGTTGATTTTCCCGATTCAGAATTTCTCCACTGGATGGATAACCGTAATCCCCCACCTACCCTTTATACAGGATTTATTCTAAGACTCTTTAGTTATAGACTTTCGAATCGAAATCTAGTGAATTGGATTTCTAACTTTAATTAACTCGAAATACAACTCAATAATCTCCCAATATCACTTATTGACAGCTGACTCAGTCGAGATATGGCTGGCTACACAGGCTAAGATTTCCCAGAATAACTTCTGAATATTCAGTTCGTAATTATTAACGTAGAATCTGTGTTCATTAGTGATTCTGAAGTTAGCTTGTAATGAACCCATAATGTTTATGTTTATTAGTTGGATTATGCAGATTAGTTCAATTTCGATGATAAATCTTATCCTAGGTTGTTTAGAGATATTTTAAAAAGCGAGGACTAAACACATGTCCAGTACATTCTGTCAGAGTCTCGTAAACAATGTTTGAATTTTGTTAAACTTCCAATCTTCGAATAAGAAAAGATCTTATCAAGACTCACTTGGGAATATGCCTTAGTTTGGGCATAACGAGTAAAGTAGCTGAGTATGATGATCAGTTTATTTATATAATAAATCTCATCATCTGACAAATACAAATACAGAAGACATCCAATTTTTGTCGGCTTATCCTTCGTTTTATATACAAGATGTTCACTTACATATCTATCAAAAAGCGAGTATACTATCCAGAAATTTTTGTGCCACTGGGTGACTATAAAATTAATTTTCAGCTGTAGACTTCTTTTAATCGTAATTATTTTATAGTATTTCTAGCATCTGATCCCTTTTACCAATTTGAATAAAACCAGAATAATATGAATGCCTTATATTTTGTGGTTTCGCATCAGTTACTTAATGTTTATTTTGTTATTCTAACTAAATTCATTATTATTTCATGTATGCCAGAACCATTCTTTCATTCATCGGCTTTTTCACTCAATTCTCTATACTTACTCCCTTATCCCTTCCTTAGTTTGTGATTTCTATCTTCATATGACCTCACATATTTTCATGCACATATATATATATATATATATATATATATATATATATATATATATATATATGAGTCATACATTAACGCCGTGGGATATCGAATTAGTGGTCTAGAGGTTGTGTTCGCGCGAAATCGAAAGTTCTGGGTTCGAGCCCACTTGTGAGATCGTGGGTGCGCACTGCTGAGGAGTTCCATACTAGAATGGAATAGTCGTCCAGTGCTTTTAGGTTCTCAATGGCTGCCTAGCTTAGATTGACCAGTGATCTTAACTGTGGAAATACTACAATCTCCACAAATCCCCGAACAGCTATATATATACCTCAAAGTTACATTACAATAAACCATTTATTTGTAAGCAGCTGATGAGAAATCAAGAAAAATATTAACTTCCTATTATCGTCCCCCAATATAATACTTTTCTTCAAATTGCCGCTTGGTCAACCACGAAGTGATTAATGCTGAGATCTGAAGTATAGTTCTATGTGAAATGATCGATCAGTCAATGAAGTGCAGTATTGATTAAGTCTTTCCCACAATAATTCGGAAGATAACGAAAGGGTAAGTAGATTCGAAAACAATAACTGGTTCAGTAAATTGACTATAGGTATCCATCAAATCTATGTAGCGTCGCAAAATCACCCCTATGTGCCAAAATCAGACAGATCGTATTTGTGTATTTCAGAAATCAACATTAGAAATCTGAACCCCTTCAAAATCATTGTCACTCACAAACCAACACATTCACTTCAACTGAATGATAGATACAACAGTGCAAAAAGATAAATCCAACACCACTTACAAAATAAATTTTACCAAGTGAGAGTGACAGAACATTGGATAAATTGGACATCAAACTCACTTGATCGTACACACATTTCGACTTGTGATCAAACAATACGGTGATAAAAAATAGTCGTATTAATGCATTTAGACAACCACAGGTGCGAATTCAATTGAGAAAATGTCGAACCTGTGGAGTGAAGCGATTCTGTGTATATTGAGTAATTTTGAGGGTTATGTAATTGAGATAAATATTTATAACCACTAGACATCTACCTAATTAGTCATTTCATGAATAAATGGTGTGAAGTGAATCGGACAAGTTAGTGATGAATATGAATGTTAAGACAAACATATTGATAAATATAGATAAACAAAGTGTCATCGAATTTAAGTAGTCACAAACATTATTATTAAATTTGGATTGATATAGTGCCATTAAATCTTCGTTTTTTATCCGATCAATATATATTTGTTATGTCTTCGGGATGAACGCCACTTGTTATATCTGGTCGCTGCTGTTTATTTTGTCGGGATCGTTTATTACTTACATTTGTAAAAACGAAGAAAAACTGCAATTCTCACGATGCAAAATTAAGAACACACACACGACTATGACGGCGGCGACGACGACTAGTCGAAAATACACTGACTTATATATTGATTGTACATCCATTTTGATTAATAATTAGGATGAAATCACATATATGAAAAATACTTAGAGTCATAACAAATCACAGACTGAGCATAGTTCATGTCAATGGAATACAAGAATATCGTATGTTATGCAGAATAAAATATCATACGAGAAAACAAAAATACTACACACAGTAATTATCACATTAAATCAAGACGGAAGTAATGTTGAACCAAAAATATTAGGAATTGAAATTTAAAATTGTCGAAGAAATGCATTCTCTTATTGTATATCTGTATTTTCATTATTTACTGGTTTATGTATAACTTTGTTATTCAGTTTGAAAACATCTTGTTTCATGATTGAATAGATGTACTTGTTGTTCGCCATGATAACTAAATGCTACATTTTAAGTTACTGATCGTATTTAAAGTTAATCGATTCACTAAGAACAATCTATGGACATAGAAGTTTATTGTGCTTGTTTTCTACATTGGACTCAGTAGTTCATTGGATAACTCGTTGACATTTGAAACAGAAAATGTAAACAGCAATACAAGAATCTGGCGAATTGTTCGGATTCAACTGTTAGTCATTATTTATCCAATCCTATTCAAGATAAATTATTAGTCAATCACTCAGTCAGCTACAACGTAGGACCAGGCATATATATGCGTCGGTTCAAGTTGCCATACCGCATTAGCACACCAAGATGTACACCGGATTCATACAAGTACTTAATTCAATGGCGGTATTATATAAAAGAAAGATTGCATATAAGGATATAGTATAAGAAGAAAAAATTAGTACGTAGAAAGATATGAAGCGATTTTAATCTCATAGCTTAAGGGAAGACAGAGAGGGTATACACCGACGCCATTGTGATCGATTCTGAGCCATGTCACCAAAAGTCTCCAACCATTGGTTACGATAGTCACGCGGACCCAAACCAGGTAGTCTGCATCTACCAACACAGCTCAGACCGGAAGTTAGAGACTTCAAGCACTGATGCCACGTTTTGGTTTGGTCGCCCCTAACTTTCTTCCAACCATCTCCAACACCGGTTAGCATTGCATTCCGTGGTAAACAATGTTCAGGTATACGTAACACGTGGCCCAACCATCTCAGTCGATGAAGATTCACAACCTCATCAACTGATTTACCATCATTCCTCAATACCATGTGTCTAACCTCATGTTTATTTACCTGGTGATCCCAGAAGATGCGAGCAATATTTTCAAGGCATCTGTGGTCAAATACCAGTGGCTTACGAGTATCTTTAACTCTTCTTAATGACCATGTTTTGCAGCCGTATAGTAAAACAGAACAAACTGCCAAGCAGTATACTCGTTGATGAATATGTTCAACTAGAGAACAATATTAATCAAATTATTTTTCGATTAATTTCTTTACAAAATGATTCACTCAAATTATAACATTGACTTACCTCTTGATGTATATAAATAAGGATTTAACTTCTAGTCTATCATTCTTTTCATTGTCTTCTATTTTATTTCATTTTAAAACTAGACTTAACTAGTCATAATTCTACAAGAAAACAAAATTCCAAATGTTCAATTTGTTATTATAATCTGGATTCTTTCGAAAAAGCCTTAAGTTTACTCGTTGAATTTCGTCTTATCAAATTAGAACAATGTAATACATTAAAACAAATTCTTAAATTATATTATAACAATGAAAATAATAATGGTAATAATACTATTATTGATGATGGTATTTATTCTAAAAATCAATATCGAATTCCATTATTAACTGATATTTGTTATAATGGTTGTTCTGTTAGATCAGAGAAATCCGAGTATGAATTTGATTCGTAAGTTGATCGAGATGAATGATCTGTTTGGGCATTTTTTTGTTTTGTGTAGGAAAAAATTATAAAATGTAGATTTTATTTGCTTATATTGATAAAAAATAGTAATTGGTGATATGTGAATTATGATTAATAGCTATGCAAGTTGTTTCATTTTAATGCATTAGTTTAACGTTATGTTATACGGTCGCACGAGTCTGATACTGATGTATACGCTTAAAAATTTAAGCTCCTAATAGGTCTATTCTAGTGAAGAAAATAGGAGTGAATAGGAAGCTTTTTTATTGGCTAGTGAAATCATGAATATAAGTACAACTCATCCATAAATATGTATCTTTCTGTTTTAGAAAATAAAAAAAATTCAAACAATTGCATTGCTCACAATTGATTGATCACTGGGTGGTGATCAATGTCATGCTTATCTAGTCCTTATTAGTGCAGATCGAATGCTATCGATCATGTTGCAATGTGGCCACCAGTCTAGGTGACTCGACACTGCGGGCACTATGTATTGAGATTTAGATGGTGGTTGGAGGTAGTCAACAGGAAACCCTGGACCCGGGTTTCGTGCTACTTGGCACTCGTCAACAAGGTGTACCTGTAATCTCGAGGGAACCGATGCTTCCTGGCGGATTCGATCTCGTGTCACCCAGCTTCACAGTCAGAGACGTTACCACTGAGCTATCCGAGCCGTGCTCTCCCTCGTTCCTAAGTAAGTGTAAAGCCAAATCTTGGCCAGTAAGTGTCTCCATAAGCATCTTCCACTTAACATTTGACTTGTCTGGTAGGTAAAGCGTATCTTTCAGTCAAATAGTAAGGATCAACCTAGTTAGCTTCATCAAGAACTCCACAGTGGCCTACTATAGTAAGACAGGGATAGATTTTAGACTAAAAGTTATTTAGTAGCCACAGTTGCTAATTATGAATAACTAGTACTCAAAGTTCAGAAAAATACATATATGCCAATATTCGTCAAACAATTAATACTGCTTTTTGCATGTAACTACATAAACCTTCACAAAACGATTGCGAACTCATTCGTTCTTGAACCTAGGCGAGAGATTATTTCAACCTGGAACTTATTACTTGAGGTTAATTGTCATCGCAAACTGAGGGTAAATAGCAAATTCTACTTTAAGTATGCTTATGCTTATGCTACTATAAACCTTTATCAATTTTAATGGTTTGAGTATTTATTACACATGCCTATTCACTAGGTGCTCTGATATTTTATCCTAGCTAATGTAGAAGCAGATTAAGAAAACTACCAGACTAAAACGTGAAATCGCCTAATTAAGTCATTGACTGTTGAAGTGAACCTTGTCTCTGGATGTACACTGTTTCTACACTTCAGGCTGAACATGATCTATTGTTAAATATTATATTTTTCATAGTTTATAATCGGTCGAGTTAGCGAAGATTTATTCATTTTTAATCATATCTTTAGGACTTAATGTATTATTTAATCCCTTCTTTTTTATTCTATTCTTTTTCGAACCATATTCAGGATCTTCAGTCTTCGTACTGTCATTATTATCATTATTATTGTATCCATTCCCTTGCTGTTCATTTTGTTCTCGTTTTGAAGCTTACTTATTCGATACTCTGTTGCGCGCAATTGTTGTAACCAAACAGTTAAAGATGTTGAATGATCTACTGATTTAAAATCATTTGTAATGATGCAGATCCACTTATTGTTTGTCTTTACTTGGATCTTAAGTTTTAAATTATCCTATATTTATTATTTAGTACATTCTTTATTTCTTTTCGATTATCATTGTCTTTTTCCGTCTTTTTACTTCACTAATTTATAGTTTGTTGAGTTGTATCTTAGATGTCTAATGTTTTCTAATACGACTGATACTGTCATTACCTGTACTATTCTGGGATTTCGCTTGATAATTTTATCTGTGCTAAATGGAGTATAACAACTTGGACCGATGTGCATATGTAACAAGTTCTACGTTCTCTACTACCATTGATGATGTAACTACTGCTACTGTAGTGAACAGAACACGGGTGGGGACAATCGAATGTATTTAATACAAAAATTACAGACTATCTCAATAAAATCTGAAAACTATATAGTAAATCGTCAATTTGCAAAATATCAATCCATCATATGAAACTGACTGTTCCTGTTCCAAACATCAATCCATCGTCTCCCATTTCGTTGTTCATGCGTTTTCATACAAATTGCATAGTGTTCTCGCTCTTCCTTTCTTGATCTTTTTCCATCTTCTGCTGCCAGACATTACGTTTTTAACTCGCGTCATATACCACTTACATCAATATAAGTAGCACGCACCACACTACTAATCTGACATTTGTCTCGATAGTTTCACCTTGTTATGTTAACATAGTGTTGAAACTGGAACCGATGCACATCACTTCCAAGTTCTGTAATACTTAAGGTTATTTGACTTCTGTAATGTTTTACAATGTGAACCAGAAAATACACTTTGGCTAAATCTGATCCATGTTTAATAACTAAATAATTGGTTAACTTAACTATTTTCCATCAATATAAACAATTATTATCAATAGATTTTGTTTCTTCACTTTTTTTCCGTTTTTATTCATATTTATCATTAATAGACAGTTATTCAATTATTCACCCGGTGAATTACAACGATTAACAATTGCGGCTGTATGTTTTTATCAACCAGATATGATATTTATGGATGAATCTACAAGTCAATTAAGTGTAACTGATGAAGCACAAGCCTATTTAAGTCTTTCTAAAAGAAATATTACACCAATTACAATTGCACATCATAATTCTGTTCGACAATATCATTTGATGGAATTACAATTAATGTCTATCGATGAACAGACTACTATTACTACTACTGAAACAAGTCAATTGAAAAAATGGAAGTTGATTAAAATTGAGTAAACTATATATATATATATATATATATATATATATATATATATATATATATATATATATATATATATATATATATGCAATCTCATTATTGTCACCGTGTTAGACAATTTAGATTATTCTCTCCATATTTTGCTTAAACGTCAACTTATGAGTTTTAGTCATTTCTTCCTTTCTGTTTTTTTATCATCCTCTATGATAGTAGTAGTAGATTGTAATCTTTTTAAAATTATAATAATAAACTTGACCAACATGTATTTGTCATATTTGTAACTGTTAGTGCAATAAATGCGTTTATTGTTACTTGTTTCATGTGTGTAATTCATATTTCACAAATACGTTTTCTCAAGTTCCTACGGTTTGTTGGGTCTGTTTGGTTTTTCAACAACAACAAAAAAGGAATTTCTGATACCTTTATATTGATATTTTTTGAAACTTGTAGGTAGGTTTGTTTCCTAAACTATACATTCTGTTCTGTAATATCGTTGAAATTAGTTGCAATAAGCTTACTGACATCTCTTTAATTCCTCAATTATTTAACTGTAATTTGTAGAGTTATATTCACAAAGTACTGGATACTTCTGTTTAAGATGTATTGTGTTATTTCAATCAGTTTCTAAATTTCACGACAGAATTTATAATTAGGAGTATTGAAATAACAGAAATTTTGATTCATTTTGGTTTGAACAATAATTTTAGTTAGTTAATGACAACTGCCAAATATACCTAGAACATATATCAGTAAGTTGTGATCACTAAAACAAATTGGTGAAATTATTATCAAACCTAAGATGTGGTCGCTATCGCGTAAGTGTTTCCTGTTTGCTTAATATTTTTCACACAAATATGAAGGGTTTTTTTCAACAATTTGTGTACATTGTCTTATAACTACCCACGTTTATTCAGATATTGTTATGGTTGATTATTTACGCGGATGTTGTGGATGTTTCAGTGGTAGGTGCAAGCTATCTGTTTGGGATCTGAGTGATCAGTGATTGAAAGTGTTGGGTGACAGGGCTTATGGTTGACTAGAATGTCACAGATACACTAACTCATTGTCGTCCATCAGATCTTGACTTTTATTACCCTTTCAGATTTACGTTTACGTCTCGTCCTTTTGAATCATATTCTCAATTCTTAGTCTTCCTCGATGTTATTCTTCTCACACTTCTTTTAAATTGTCTGCTATTCACTATGTTAACTCCGCATCCTTGTGCTGATATGGTATGTTAACATGGACTAATGCACAAGCTCCACGTTGATTGTTACTTATCAACTTTCAATGGTTATTAAGTTTAAAAATAAGTGGTACTAGTCTGATGTGGTGTTTAAAAGTCAGATCCCATGATCGTAAGTGTTATTAGAATAGTAAGCAATAATTTGAATTCATAAATATTTTGAAATCTTGAAGGTGTGCTATATAAGCAGTTGCTATTCAGTACGGTTTCATTTTCATACATTAATTTATTCTGTTGATCTTGAGTTTCTACGAGACACATTGTATATAGTAACTCTACTGTTTAAATACAAAAAACAAATATGCGAAGCGAAGATTTTATTCTACATGAAAGTAGACCAAGTGAAAACCCTTTTCTGCAGCTTAGAATCTGTTATTATTCGATTAGTGTCTTTAATGGTATGTCAAAAAAATTTTCAAAACCTTGCCACCCTTGTTTACTGAGATTTACATAATCCATGTGATGAAATTCAATGCGATTATTTCTTTGTTTCATGTTTTAATCAACGACAAACTGCAAGTTTGTATGTACATATCTTTAATGAACTGAATAAGTCACATCCATCAACTATCGTGACTGAGTTAGAATATTCAGTCCTCGTGATTGAGAAAGGGCTATTATGGGGTAGCAACTATTTTTCTTACTGTTAGGGCACATTGACTGAACTGAACTAATTTAAGATCAGAAATGCCTTAGATTTGTCCGGTAACGTCGGCTATTAGTATACTGATTTTATCACGTCATGTAGCGTATTAGCTATGATAATGCCTAGAGATTCAATGTTTATTGCATACGAACCGGGTTTCCATTTGCCTGAACATCAAGACTGGTATTTTGCCAAAATCCATTGTGTTTAGATCTCGACTATCGTATTCTTTCGATTTTATATCTCAACAACATACCGATTCCTTTTACAATTCCTATTATCACAGTCCTTTAGGAATTGAAAGTGTATGGTTATCAGCCTTCGGAAGTGTGAAGAAACAGAAAGTATTTGACCGTCAACCTGTTGGTCTGAAAAGTCAATCTTAAATCGTTCTCAGGAATACAATTCATGATGAGCACTATAGTCATGCGAAATTATACAATCTGATAACCTTAGAGAAATTGTTGTAAATGAATACGAACGCATTTGTAGTATTACGGTCTACTTCGTTATCAGTACTGCTCTAATAATGGATTTGCTATGATGCAACTGCCTAATCTATAAGATCCTACGTGGAAGTCACATCATTGTTGCATTGAATCCTAACAATCAGCAATATATGATAGAGGACACTTTTAGTCTGGAGATAGAACAATGTATTTAGCGTGGGTTGCACAAGAATAACCGCATATGAAAGGCCGAGCCATGCCGTTCGATGAATTGAAGTTAATCCTTCCTGCTTTTTCCATTGTTTGGTTTTTTCACTGCGTGAAAATTTGAATATCGATTTTCCCAGTTTTCTCGTGGGTGAAGGTACTGAATGTCGATGACTTCATCACACTGGCGTGTAAAGAAAGAGTCTAGAAATGACGGTCTACGTTTCGAATCAATATGTGTCGGTCGTACAGTCCTTCGGAATAAACAACCCACTCTATTCATGGTTTACAATGACTCTTTCTCATCATCTAGACCAATCACCAGTGGAGTCATCCAAGGAAGCGCATTAGGTCCACGTTTGTTTCTTATGTATATAAACGATATATGTAACATCATAAAATTTGGGAAACCATACTTATATGCTGATGATCTCAAAATGCCGTACAGCTATAAGCCTGAAGCTCTGAGCGAGTGTATCCCAAATTAAAAGTGGCCTCAATAAACTATCTGAAGCAAAAAATGGCAATTAATATTTAACCTCATCAAGTGCGAGATCAAGCATTTTGGAAATCATCCCTATAAACTACAACGTTACTTAAATAAAAGTAGAGTCCAGACACTCAAATCAGTACACGATCTAGAAATTAATTACACAAGAAGCACAAACTTTAAAGAATATGCTCCCTCTATTATTTCTAAATGTAGACGGCTAATTGGTTTCATGGCGAAAAAAAATTCACAACAGAGGCTGAGGTTACACTCTACAAAATATGTGTACGACGCCCATTGAATGTTGCTCTTTTATCATCTGAAATATGAATACCACAGATAAGATAATAGATGTTCAAAAAGGCTTCTCACGCCAACTGCTAGGATGTAACACCACTCTCAATTACACAGATAGATGTAAGCACCTTTCTTTACAACCTTCGTGGCACCGCCTGCTAAGGATCAATCTAATATTTCTCTATAAAGCAATATGTAGACTCTCATTTCTAACTTCCTGCATAACTACGATTCATGACCCAGCCTACAGACTAAGAGACAACGCATATACACTACTTACTGCAAAACACCAAAAACAAATGCGTTGTAAGTTCTTTGCGGTGCGGTATAGCTTATCATGGAACAAGTTGCCAATCGCTTCCGGTAACTGACAGATGTTGATAACCTTGTTACCAGACTCCAAAGAGCCTCACCAACTATTCCACGAACTCCTGCACAGCAATGTGGCACATTATTATGGACAGCCTAATATCCGAAATGAACCAGAACATAACGAACTCCATATTTAATAATATAAATATAACTAAATTGCAGAACACATGGTTTGTCCCCTGCCATTATTCACCGATTATTAGTCGTGGCATAATGCTTCTTACCCTCATATTCAAATCCCGAATCACTCTAATGTTTGAAGATACAGTAATCCTAATAGATGCCATGTCATTTTTTTCTACCACAAGTAGACAGATAACTCATTAATCTTATGGATGCTAATCAATGTGATTTGTACCCATGTACAAACATTCATTGGAGTAGCAATCATAGATGCGTTATACACATTGTGGGATCTTGGATGACTGTCGATGGCTTGAGTTGTCATATTTTTGTTTTTTCTATAAGAAACAGAATTAACCAGGCAATTCAGTTTTCCAGACGTTCCATGACCGCTGCTATTTGGAGGGAGAGGCACAGAAAAAATTTCATTTCTTGAGCTTTTATTTCTAACAGACCTCTTTATAAGCCGTCCTTCATCCTTTGGTTCATGTAAGTCAATTAACACTGAGCTTATTTGAGGTAACTTCACATCAGTTTGTTTAGCGACTGTTTGATGTTGTAGCGGTAAATAAATCCCTAAAATAAATAGCTCTGTAAGTTTTCGACATTGGATGCTGACCATACGTTTTAGTGGACTCATCTAGCTGAAGGCGCTCGGTCGGACATCCGTACCAGATCACGTGTGGTAACGCCGTGCTCAATATCAACCGCAATCGCTAGTCAGATTAGATCAGAGAAATCCGATATTTTGGTTATCGCTAAATACACTCTTCCGATCTCCTCGACTCTGTCTTTTGATTTCTCTGGGTGGGAACGAAATACATTATGTGTTACTGGTAGAAGCGTTGTCAAACACTGAATACCAGTGTCATTTTCATTGGTGAGACCGACGTGATCTGGTACACCTAATTGCGACTATGAGTCTGTTCCTTTTTGGGATTTTTATATATTATCGCCTTATTTTTTTAATTTTATACATTGTGATATTTATTTCCCGTGTCTCAGGATATCTATATTTCTCGGTTACGTATGCTAATATACCTTTTAGCAACATTCACCGTTTCTGTGACATCGGATAACAAGCGATTGATGTCCGAAAATGGCTGCTAATGTATTCACAATCATCTATATTTGCCAAAACGTTTGAAAATCACAGGCGTCAGATTCGTCCAAACTTTGTGGTATCAACCTTTGGACTCACCACACTGCATGCCATTTCAAAGGGGTATCGGCAGGCTGAGAGTTATCGAATGCTTTTTGGCACTGTCCAGTCATCAAACATAGGACTGTGACAGAAAACAAGTACAAACAATACACAGAAACAAAGTAAAACTAATGACTAGTAATAATGAAAAGTATAAATTGTTAGAAACAAGAGTGCAAACAAATACCAAAAAAACCAATGTACTCAAAAGTGTCATATCAAATTACTTTGACTGGAACAAATCCACTTAAAGTGAAAACAGCATTGTTGACGCATAATTAACGATCGAGATAACAAAATTATCTCTACGAGGGAAAATATCACTGTCCTTTTTGAATAGCTGGAGTGGTTTCAACTGATAAAATTTTGGATTGATTTTTAGCTACAATAAAATTTAAATAATATAAAAAGGTATATATATACATAATTTCAGATATTCTGTTTTGGTGAGCAGTTCGTTTGCGCGATTTTTTCAAAATGCTTGCATGTAGCACGTCTAGAATGCTACACTGTAACGGGGCGGGACTGTAATTTATAGACGAGCCAATCAGAGGCATTTGAAGGATTTCAAGGTTACGGCGCTGACTTCAGTGTTTAGTGCTAACGTACGATGAGTTTACAAGGAATTTTGTGCTAAACGTGATAATTGAGCGGCTATAACAAACAAAACGGCAAGACTGTAATTTGTGGACGGATGAATCAGGTATAAGATAACAGATCTCGGATTTGGGCACGAAAGCCTTTAATCCATTTGACTAAATAGATTTCTGGCAGTATAGCTGATGTCAGTTCATGATGGAAACCCCATATATAATTCCTAACTGAGGTAAATTATCGCGAACTAGATAATAAAATTACCAGTAACACTGGTTGCAGCTAGGCACTGCAATATATAAGGATGATTGCAGAGCGTACATACTCATACATAGGCTTGATCATGTGCATCGTGTCGTTATCCACGAGTAGCATTTTGTGTACTCAACAACCGAAGTGCACATAAACAATACTGAAGCTATGTGGTCGAGGCTGAAAGAGTTTTTGAGACTTTATCATGCCTACGGAGGCCGGCTATTTTGTAGCCGTATGGATGGTTTCCTCCACTGCATGCATTACGATTTTAGGACCTCTGAACCTCGTTTAAACATTGACAAGTTTTTGAACCACGTATAAGAATTATCCACTATATTTCCTTGGTTTTGTATAATATATTTTTGCTATATACATACTGTCCTCTGATTGCCTAATATTCTCAGGGTCACTTAAAATTCGTTCAGAGGTCGTCCATGAATTTGAGTCTCGCCTGATAAGCTTCCCTTTTTATACTCGAACCGCGTCTTTCTATTTTTCAAATAAATATCTGTTGTGCCAGTATGCCGTTTTCTTACTTCAGTGGCATTTACGAGTCCTGACTATTGTGTTGTGTTTCAGATCGCTCCTGCTTCCAAGTAAACGCTAATAGTACGTGCTACAACACTATCAACTCTTAGTCGCAGTAATGGAACTGTTTTAAGCTCATGTCTGCATTATTTTTGATTTTTGTCAATTACTTTCATCACTTATTGTAAGTGCAGTCTATTTGCTCATCTAATCGTTGACTTATTTTTACTTGTTCTTTTCTCTACCAGATCTGGTAATCGATAATCAAACACACTGCTCCCCACAATCCTCTAGCTTCCAAGATTCCTTCAGGCTGAACAGAAACTTTATGAAATCTAGACATTAAAAGCATATGGACTTGTTTAAGCTGTATACAAAAAAGATTTTGGATTCATGGACATCTTTGCGCCTTGGTCTAAATCAGGAGTCTGGAGGCCCAAACACACAACAAAAAGTAGGATTATTGTATGAACATCTACCTCAGGTTGTTTTGAAGTCTAAACACGAGGATGAAATAAGCGACTTTTTGGAAGATTATTTAGATGATGAATTAAATATAATTTGTGAAGACAAATCTCATGAAGAAGTTGCACGTCTAATATACGAAGGACTTCTTCTTTTTCGAAATAAAAACACCAGTGAACTTCAGGATAAAATAGACAAACTGACAACTGGTTGTAATCTTAATCAATGTTTATCTCAAGACCAAACCACTGATGCTGACGATTTGACTTGCAGTGAGTCAGACTCAGGAAGTGAGGGGGACGTTGACATGGAGTAAAAGCTTTCTTTGCAAAATGTATTATATTTCCTTGTACATACTAGTTTGCTTTGGTTATAATAATTCAATGTCTTTTCTCTTATCTGCTATTACTAGACATGTGTGAGTCGCAATTTCCGAATTTAAGAATCTCGCTGACATGATGCGGTTTTTCTCTGATTAACCTAGTAAACGAGTGACGTTTGGGTAGAGAACTTTATTGGCTAAAGTTGATGGGGAAAATAGACGTGTCAGTGGTTCTTATTGTAGCCTATGGGATCTAGGACTAGTAGATAAAGAGGCGGTAACCAAAACTTATTCGTTTAGCTACATCATCCTCGAGAGTGTATTGTCGATGCAAATTGTCTTCCATCATACACAGCACATTTATCGTCACTTCACTGTTTTTTAGTCATAGCAAATGTCATGCACATACTCACCGGAGACATATTCGATTTTACTGCTGGTTTTGTTCACAAATCAGCATCCCGGAAGTATGTCATTGTTAAAACGTGTTACATATGGATCCTTTAATCGTGTTTCTTGGTTAATACGGCTGTTCTGTACGTGTAGTATGGGTAAAAAAAACAGAATGAACTAGTATACGCTTAAAAACCAAACGGTGTTTTATTGGCTTTCCTCACCTTGACTTAGATTAGAAATAATACGCATAGTAGGATATAGAGAACAAGGAGAGTTGACGCTATCTAGTTTGGAACCTGTAGGACGTAGTGCTCTGATATTCTCAATTCATCCGTGAATGTTGGGATAAACCACTTTTATTTGTAGTGTGCTTTAGTTTGTTGGGTATCATATTTATGTATGGATTGGTTAAATGGTCCAGAATTTGTTATCTGTAAATGCGCTAACACACATCTGTAGACAATCTATTTGAGTAGACGAGGTCTGCTTAAGATGGACGGAACGCTAAGACTTCCTAGCCTACGCTGAAGTCAATTCGTGGTTGGTACGTGAATTGAATCATCCTGTAATGACAAACAGATAAATCGGAGTCCTTGACGACATTTTGGAATGCATGCTGACAAAGCGGATATTTTAGCAAAACCAAGTTAATGAGCTACAAGGACGGACCGCTGTGTATCCGTCAGTCTACGGCGTGTTCTTTACTAGTCAGCGTTCGTCAACCCTTAACTACAAGATTTTCTACGGACTGTCCGACGCAGTTATAGTTCAGCCTGATGAGTGACTTGGTCAGGGCCCAATGAGGTTCCACTGGCCCTCTACTCTCAAAAGTAACTGCGGTAGGATTCACAGGGATCACCTAGTAAACTACATTTGGTAATGGATGCTCCAGTTTTCGACTCCTGCTCAATTTTCCGATAAGCTTACAGAATTATGCTTAAATACTACCAAAGTCGACATTTTTCCTACCTATAAAGACCACGTTTCGCAGCCATAAAGAGGCAGTCCTGAAGCAAAATTTCGCATCAAAAGGGATGTACCAGACATTTTTCTATTGTCGCTAAGTACTTTCTTATAGTACTTGCACAAAACAGCCTTATAGAAAAACACCACTATTAACCAATCGAGGGAAGGTACATTCACCGGAAAGTTGTGACGCAGACTATCTTATATCAGGACTATCGTTGCTCCATGCCTCCTATCTGACGTTCGCTTCACAAACAGTTCATCAACACATTTTATATGGTACAATACAACTACTTGAATGTGCCACTGATAGTTATTTTGCAGTTTTTACTCATTGACACGACCTAAGACAGCGGGCGAAAAGGTAGAATTCTGGTGGTTTTGCAATGTTTGAACAGCCACAGTTAGAATTAGGGAACTCTTAGTTCATTTGTACAGCGCTTAAGACAGCCAGTCTTCAACCATAAGACTGCAGATCCGAATATTCGTCCTGTTTACTTTGGTTTGAGTAGCGGAATATTATCCCTAGACATCTTTAAAAAAGTAATAAAGACATTTTAACATGTCCTCGATGTTAATAGTTATTGTATTACATTCATTTCAAAACGTTTTTGTTCCTGGATAAATTTAAAATACTTAGTATTAATCTACTCAACTGAGTTTCGAAAGCATTTAGTCTAGACGTGAATGTATGTAATACATGTCTATACCCACCAGTAGATCTTAGAATGATCAATGGCCAACACTTCAGATTAATAAGCAGTATATTGATGCATTCATTACAAAAAGAATTATTATATATTTACAAGTATACAATCCTCGAAGGGGATTTTTTTGCCTGGTTAAACATAATCAACTGCTAATTCCAAATAGTAATTAAGCGAAATATTTGGTTCAGAAAACTTTTGAAAGTCCAAAAAGTCTAAGTTTCCATGCAATGGAATAGATGGACGATTATCCGTTAGTTTGAAGAAATTCCTTATTGATTGTCGTAATGCTTCCTCTTCTGCAATTAATATCGTTTCACCAGGAGCTTAAGTGATTGAAATAAAAATAGACAAATTATTATAAAACAGGCCGAGGTATAAACTTGTTACTGATTTAGAAATTCAAAGTATTTGCTTTTCTCTAGTTGCGTACATAAAAATGAAATTTTTAAAAATCCACTGGGTTTAATTGATAAATTTCATGGGCTACTTTTCATAATCATCAAAAACATAAATCTTAACAATATGCTAATAACACTACATACGTATAAAAAATAGCCGACTCGATTGTTATTTATCTTAAGTTACAGAATACGAACAAATCATATACCATAAAATTTATAATTGATTTTAGTAATATATATTCAGGTGTTGCTCACCCACAATTATGTGGTCAGTATAAGTCATTCGTGATGTAAAAACGACTTTGAGGCAACCTGTTCGTTAGAACTAGTGACGGTACAATTTCAGTTGCCAAAATTTGAAGAAACAAAACAGGGCTCATATCTGGGACCTATTGATTAAACAATCAGTGATTCTTAACTATTAATTCATTACTTTACTACTTCTTCGCTACCCTTGAACAATGTGCATTTATTAAGAGCTCACAAAATATCGGTAAAGTTTATAAAATTAACGTTACAACAACTTGGTTTAACCTCTGATATCTTCCCTAACCAGCATTAATACCATTAACATCATGTGTACCACATCTAATTAAATGTAGGTACACAATCTGTCATCGAATTTGTTGCCTAAAACTTCTTGTATATCTAGAATAGTGCCTAGTTTGTAGTTAACCGCAAATCTTATGACAGTAATGGTAGATAACTACCAACATTTTTGTAAATCTCGTTGTTTAACTTGGTTATCCGTTCGAGTTGTCAAGGTGTATGCTCTGCCATGATTTAGTGCTAACCTGACTTTTACAAGAACTGATAACCAGGTCTAAATATATTTTCTTTAATTGTAGCCACATAAGTAACTCAACAAATAAATCGGTGAATGGATATGCTGCGGTTTCCATGAGTATAGATTAACAGCCGATTCATGACTTTCCCACAGTCTTACAAAAACTCAAAATCCCAAACAATAAATACAGGCCGAATTCCTGATGTTTTGTTGGCTATTACAGTATGAGCTATATCTTGAACAACCATTTAACACTATAAATGTAGAACAGATATTCAGTTGCACATCATTTGGGTTACATAAATCCATCATAAAAATCTTAACATCCTGTATGTGTTAAATGTTAAGAATATGCTGTTTACCTTCTCCAATGAGTTGACAATCACTATATATACCAACTTCAAAACAGGCTAGCACAGTATTCATACTTGACTGATAAATTAATCTGTAAGGAGAAGTGACCAAATAGATTATCTATTACATTCATATACACAGTTATTATATATTAGTATTGTGTCTACATATGATTAGAAGTATGTCATGATTTAAAACTATGTTCAACCAATAACTTCAGTGTGCTTCTATATTGTGAAGTGAGCTATTTTCACACAAAATTGAAATTTTCTATTCCAAGAGGTGAGATTGTGACTAATCAACAAAATGTTTCGAAGAAAGAAAATTACGTAGCGAGGCTCTGAGTATTTTTTTTCAAACTTGCTTGAATTACATTTCAAAGTAAATAATTTATCATTTTAGATTAGACAAATCAGGATGAGAGCAAAATTACTAGAAGCCTTGTGTTCTATGAAGTGAATAGTTTAATGGTAGTCTTTTTTGTCTCTCTATATATCATTAATAAATGCTTTACTATCAAATAATCCAGTCTAAACAACTAGGTAATTCCAAAAGCCTTTCCTTGAGTACACAAATCGTCATCACAAATATGTACGAATAAAATAGAGTTTATTTAATCCAACTTAAAATTAGTCACAATGCTCTAGATATATTTGAATCTTTAAATTACTTTTTGCTGGACCTTGGAAATCGCTAATATTCTGCACTTTTCTCTCTCTTTATTTTATTCCTTCATTTCTGAACAGTGTTTTCGATGTTTACTATTTCTGACTACCATTTATACGATTATATCATTTTGACTACTCAATTAGCCATTTACGTTTTGTAAATTTAATTTCACAGTGTTGATATGATGTAACAACTTTAGTTATTAAATATTGATGTCAAGTCCTATGTTGATTTTTATTGATTAACTAAATAATAAAATCAAATCCAAATTTTCATCTGCAAAACTAACATTTTAATACATAGTTTCATAAACAAAGGAATTTCGAATGTATTTTTGTGTTATCTTCTTCCCTACAACAGTTAAAGATGAAGGGGCAAACTTTAGAAAAACATGATTTTAAACTAATACATACCACTTACCTGGTTTCAGGTGGGCCACGTCCTTCAGATCGAAGTATACCCTGTAGAAGGGGTAATGGATTAGGAATTGAAATCAGTTCAGTTAAATCTATATCAGGAAGTCTCGCTAGTATGAAATCCCGAATAAACAAATGTGCTTTCTCCATCTAAGTCACAATAATAATAATAGTTATTAAAAGATTATTTTTGTGAACACATTTTATAGATCATAATATATTTCGATTGTTAATCTAACAACATAAACATTACTAAAACCGAAGTTTGTCAATATTTGGTATATATATATTGCTTTTTTACTTTCAGCAATCCAATCAAGTGAACAAATAAATTTCATTACTAATTTGAGTGAAATTCTTAAAAAACGATTAAATCATATATGGATGAATATTAATCATGATTAGGGGAAATAAGGCAAGCTTTTTTAAATACATTCACCTTATCTTTTGCTAAAGCACCGACTAAAGCCATAAGTGCGTGAGTTAAAACATCCAGATTCGGTGGAGCTGATATAATTTTATTGCTTGAATAATCTACTTGATCACTGTACAATACTATATCTTTAATTCCTAAATGAGCGGCTATAAAAGCAAGCTCAGAAGGTGACTTCAAATACTGAACGATAGTCATAATCCACTCTTCAGGGAATCGAGGATACACTGATCGCAAGAAGACATATAAAAAATTTTCCGAAACAGAAAATCCTACAAAGTAAACAAAAACATATAAAGAATACAGTAGATTAACTAAAGTTCATGAGTTTTAGTAGATATTCAACAAAAACCACTACACGATGATATATTCGATATGAACTAATTGAATGTCAATCATACATCGTATAAAACTACATAATAATGAATCATTTAAAAGTAAATAGAAACTCCTAGTTGTTGAGAAATGTGATGCTTCCTGACAGCTGGCTTCGTGCAATAATATACACATGTAAGAGGAGACAGTAAAATACGGGTGCTATGACATATGCAGATCAAATAGATGATAATTTGTGACCTGTTTCCGATCCGAATCGATCAACCAATGCGAAACACTTGTACAACGAAGTTTTATCGTTTGATATTCCAAGTACTAAAATATAGACCCATGAAAATCTAAACTTTAGTTAATGAAGTAGACTTCAGATTGTGTGAAGGGCTACTAAACATTTATATGAACATAATTTTACTGCCATAATCATAAGAAAAAAGTTTTTACACTAAGAACATAAACTATGCAGACGAATTCTCCGTAAAAAGATATTCAGACAGAAACTAAACCACAAGTGATATACGTGAGTAAAATACAAACATATCCTTTCCCCAATGCTAATCACTTCTAACTTTTTTATGAAACATAACTATGCCATACAACACTGTAGATTGGTGTAAATGGTGATCAGAAGGTGTTACATACACTCAGCTACCTCAGTAGATGAAGATTCACAGCCTTTGTAATCGATCTACAACTTCGATCTATTTTCCCACCTACAACCTCAGAATCGCATAGACGAACAATGGTTTTCAGATATATATGGCTAGACACCAACCATCAAAGGCCGTGTTCATAATCATGCATTCGCTACGCAAGAGATTGATTTATTGCTATTTTTGGTGAACTAAACATCGTTCAGGCACTTTACCAGCTAAATAGTACAACTTTATCACGTAACGCAACAGTTTGCATTTCACTGTTATGAAAAATTGTATTTCCTCCCCGAAAGACCTATTACGTACTGTTACAAAGATGAATAAGGGGTTTACAAGGTTGCAGCGTATAATATACTACCTTTAGAAGAACCTTTGCAGATGAAACAAAGTATTGTTTTGGGTATTTTGATGACCATCAACTTAGCTTCCGAAGAGAACTACAAGCAAATAATTCGGTCTTCCCACACAGGTATTATTTTACATACTCATTTAAAATGCGAAACTTAAAGTTTGGTAAAGAAAAGTCTGGATGATTGATAAATTAGAACAACAACCGAATGAGTAGATAACAGATAGACGGAATACAGTTGCGTGGTATTGTGGATACCTTAGCTGCTATTTTGGTGTGGTGGTCAGGCTTACCTATCGTGAAGACTCAACTGAGCTATGTTAGATGAAGCACATGTTGTATTAGATGCTGCCATATCAAGCAGGTCGGGTCAAGGACCGTACGACTGAAAGAAGCAATTTTAATTCAAAGTCGTACAACTGACTGTGGAGGGGTGTGATAGAAGGTATTTCCATCAGACAACTAGTATCTATGATGATGCTGCCTTCTCACAACGCAAGGAAAAAGCTAGGAAATGTCACCTCAACCCACAGATTAATGTCTACAGTGATAAGGCGTTTTGAAGTTCACACCTAACACATACAAAGCTTCCCATAAAAAAGTCGTGTGCTACCGGCTCCAAGCAGTTATTCCTGTGGCTCAGTAGTCACATCAACAGGTATAGACTACCTGGTTGTTGCCGGGGTGATTATAATAGCCAGTGACCAGACTTTAAATAATATGGCTCAAAGTCTTGCAGGTGCACCCATTATGTATTCCGAATTCTCCACAGTGTTTTTTTATTTCAATAAATTAGGTTTTCTCGAATCGTATCTTCGATGTCTAATTTTTTCTTTAACCACTGAAACCGTTATTATCTTTACTACTTTGAGATATGCCTTAACATTTTCATCTCGCCGCGTCATAAACCAACTGAGTATCTTTAATCGTTCATAAAAACTACTTATTAATACCTTTCATTGATGGATTTTCTCTTCGTCCTGTATTTCTTACCAAGTCTTACGTACCATAACTGACTAGTCAACTTAATGCGGTCAACTTGTTTTTGCCCTTTACCTCAAATCCAAGTGAGTTTGTGGGATTCAACTGCTTGCGCAATTAGTAGACGCTCAGTAGTTTTGTCTAACCTTTTAAGGCAAGCCGAATTTAAACCCGTATCAGATTAAGATGGATGTATATACTATAATTAATTGAGTTTCGAACTGCATTTTGTTTATTTAATTTTCAACACTTGTCATTAAACAATTACGCGATTCTCCAAGAAGCCTTCTAAGCACACAGTTAAGTTGATAACATCAATGGATGCAGCAAAACGAATGTAAATTTTCTGAATTCTGTTGCTAATGTTGCTGCTTTATGAAGTCAACACAGATGCAAAATCACATAATTTGTGCATGTTAGATATAACTAGAAAACGGAAGATCTCGTAAAGACAAGTACTATTGCTGGTGAAGGTTGATAGACCAATTAAATCGATAAAAATAAGTGTTTTTGCTACACGTTGCATTACCCTGAATTTTACATGTATTTGGCGTAACAAAATAAATGTTGTTTGACCCTGAGAAATTGGTGGATGAGACATATGAGGTGTTAATACTAAATAATTATCAGACATGTTATTAATGGTTGAAACTCAATATACATGAATTTAAAGATGATATTAGTTAGCGAATAACCTTAAGTTCCTAACAAGAAAAACATTTCAACGAACATAAATCTTAATCGTCAACTCCTTACCTAGGGCAGCGAGCTCCGAGTTGTCTTGCATTATTTTTCTGTCTGACTCGGCCGTTTTTACAGACCAAAACGAGGAATATGATCTATGATTCAATACACGGTATGATTTTCAATTGAAAACTCAGTAACTACCGATCTGTCAGAACGACCTCAATAAGATCTTTCTCTAAATTCTCACCAATTCTCGACAAAAACGCACATAATTCCGAGTCACGATTCCAGCATAACCAATCTTTCCTGGGTCGATAAATCTCTGGACCTTGAGCAAGTCTTCTACCATATAAGTCTTTCAGATATGGACGAATAAATCGAGGTCTTCTGCTATGGCGCACACCTAATATTAAAATTAAAGATGGTAAACTACCACATACAAGATATCAATACGGGAAAGAGGGTAAATAGACGTGACATCGAAAGCAGCGCACAATGACCTTCGATTTGAAATATCACCGTGAGAAGGTCTCAACATGAATAAATTCAATAGTTTTACTTCAGAACTGGTCACCCGACTTCACGGCCGACTTACTCAACCTTTCTTTTGAACATTCAACTCAATAATATGAGCAAGATTTATTTGTACCCAAGTGTTCAAGTGGGTTCCTTTTAATTAAAAAAGACGCGTTGAGAAGTTTAAAGTGCATTTTCGACCAGTTTGGTTCACATGTATGTGGAAGGAACGTTGATGTGAAATTATTTAAATATTAAACTGGATTTAGTTGTGGGCACGAGACGCGTAGTGAACGTCAGTATATAGTACCGTAATCGAATTGTGAAAAATTAATTAACCGATAGGTATTACTATATCTCATGGTGGTTATAAAACAATGAAATATGCTGATGACGGGAAAAAGAATATCACTACCATTCATTGAAACTCTACAGAAATTACTGTGTTAAGCATTATGCGAACCACTTATTTCTCATAAGTCTTTAGATGATTTTGCAGTGTCGAGTGCTATGCAAGCCCACATAGCTTATTCTAGCTTACGGACAGGCCAATTTATTCACTCTTCTTGATGCACGTTTTGAACTCGTTATTCATTCGCTTATCATCTTTGACTGTTTTTATATATATCTATATGTACTTCTTATCCTATTCATTTCATGTCTGCAACTTATTTTTGTCTGGCTATAAATATTGATTAACGCTTGATTAAATGGAGTTAGCTCACATGTTTCGTTTCTCTGATCTTTTGTTCGGACTAACGATTGTATGGCTGTATGTAAGCATTCGAAAATCATTCTCGTATTTGACTTGTTTAATTCCGTTTTTCATTAACGCGATTTAAGTTGATCATTATATGCGCGGATTCACAACATGTATATTTCGATAACGATAGTCATAAGATCAAATTGTAGTTGGATCCGAGTCACTAAAGTTTCAAATGGTTCTGGACGGAAAAGATGAAGCTTTCACTTAACGGGCCTCCGGATCCGGTAGAAGCGGATCACTGATACCTCCAGGTAGGAACCGAGGTACATTTATCGAAAAATGAGAAATATTACGGAATGATAGTTAAACGCTGTCACGAATCCTTGAGAACGTGTCCTGATTATTGGGGATTTCAATATTCCTAAGGTCAACTTCGATGAACAAATGTATATTGAAGGCGAAGAATATACTAAAGCTTTGTTATTCAGCTTCATTGAGGATCTTGGATTATTTGAAAATGTGAAGTAGGCAACTCTTTGGAGAAACAGTCGAACACCGTCGGGCTTAGACCGGGTATTTACAAACAAAAATTCCTAGTTGAAAACCTCTCAACCCTGGCTCTTCTGGAGAGGAACGATCACGCTGTAAGATCCATTTTGAGGGTTTTGTGTGTTGGTGAAAATCCCTCCATGTATATACTTGTATTTTGTTCCTATAGATCCCCTTAGTTGTACATTGTTGTATTTTGATTACATTTGAATTGTTAATACTTGTATTTTTTATTATAGTTTCTGTTTTTCTTACTCATTCACTAAGTTTGTGTCTCTTCCTGAACTGCATCTGTGTTGGTTTACTTGACACTTGTTCTTGGCGGCAGCCATATTGATTTGCTCCTCCGTTTGTGTGTGTTCTATCCAGCCAGGATAGAATAACGTTCATTTGTTTTGACTGGTAATTTTCCCTCATCTTCTATCAACTTCTTTATTTACTGTAATTTAGATTTGATTGTTTGAACAATTATTGGTTGAATAGCCGGGTGGTAATATTTGTTTAGGTAACGATTTACATTTAAATTTATGATGAATTATAGAACTGCTATTTACCCGATTACTTGCTTTGATTTCGACGGGAAAGGGCGCGTGTCTAAAGTCCCCGGTCGGCTATTCTTTAACATCCAAACCGTAGTTTGGATTCTACACACGCCGTCATAGCCTTCAGTTTTATCAGCAACAGACGCTGGAGTTTTGAACGACTGAATGTGTCCGCTTTACAGGACTATCTACAACAGGTGAATTTGGAAATTTACCCTCAAATTGATGTTGATACTCATTGATATTTCTTACTGAACACGAACTTGTATGCTACAAAGCAGTTTTTTCCTCAAATTTTCATTTGCTAGGCTGAAAAAGGCACTTTTTGGCGGAATACAAACAAACTGATAACGGCGCGTACAGGTAATACAAACATATATAAGGAACATATGCGAAAACGTTATAAGAGAAGACAGAATTCAGTACTAGATAAAGCTTATCGATAAATTTGTCTTCAATTCGAAATGCTTTTTCCGTTATGCAGCATCTATTCAACAGGCGAAAACTGGAGTTTCTCAACTGCTAGGTGTAATCGCACAACCAGTAACGACGGTGACGCCGCTAACATTCTGGCTGAATAATACTCCCGGACATTTCAACCGGCCCACATTAACTATATCGATGGAAGTTTCGCCTGCAACTCCACAAGATTTTGCGAAGTGAACCTGGGTGCTGACTTGGTGTTCCGGAAACTGCAGCACCTAAGAAATGGCACCTCTCCTGGCCCGGATATGATTCATGCTGTTATACTGAGAAAAGCAACTTCAACCCTGACAACACCGCTTAGCGTGATGTTTGCACACTCGCTAAGTTGAGGCAAACTACCGGAAACTTGGAAGCTTCACACCAATTTCGGAAGGAGTTCGACGCAGAGAACCTTCAAGCTACTGACTAGTGGCCTTTCTCTCTATACCTTCAGAAATTATGGAGTGCCTGATATGTGATGGTAAACGCGACTGTTTATTATCCTTAAACTTCTTATCACCTCAACAGCATAGTTTCAGGAAGGGTCATTCTTGTATAGTCAACCTGGTGTCTGTGGTGAACAGATGGACAACCATCCTTGATCGCAAGATGAAAGTTGACATCATTTGCATTGACTTCTCGAAAGCTTTTGATAAGGTCAATCACGTATGTCTTATCAATAAGCTCAAACGATTGAGCATCAATTCACCTCTAATTGACTGGCCCACTTCACATCTAAAAAATCGACATTTTAAGGTTAGGGTTAATTAAAATTTCTCTCAGCCTGTGGAATGTCCTATTGGGATCCCCCAGTGTTCTAACTATGACCTCTTCTCTCCTTGATTTATATAGACATTGTTCCACAATAGGTAACGTCTGACATTACTTTTTGCTGATGATGGTAAACGTTTTTTCTAAGCATAAAACTGTAAGCAGTCAATCACGTAAGCTCAGCGAAAGGATCACTTTTCAACGAATTCATTATCCAGCTGTGCATTTTTATAATAAAATGAAAATTAATTAAGTATTGATTCCCTGAGAACGAATGAACAACGAATAGATATGATGATGTAATTAAAAGGTTATAAACCTTAAAATCAACCTGCGTATCAGTGGAATGGTTAAAATTGACTAGATTTTCAAAAATAATTAATTTACTGAAGTTCAGACAAAGATTGAGCAGAGATGGTAGGACAAATGTGCGTCTTTTAAACTGTTAAGTTAGGGTCGATTGACTTCAGACAACATAGTGAGATTGATGATTTATTCGTAAACAACTCCTTGAAATAAATGGTTTTCTAAACATTCAGGATTGTTTTCTAGCTCTTCCACATCTGCCTACGGTGAAATGAACTTTTCCTTACAACTCTTATCAGTATTTCTCTTATCTGTAATCGTGGAGAAATTCTGAACTGAACCATTATTGTTTAATCTGTCGTACTAGCGTATATCTCGAAGCAATTATCTCATATTTGACCATGTTGATCAGGTATAAAAAGCTATTCATATAAAGATTCATCATATTTCTCAAAGATTGTTTAGAATTATCTTATCATTAGATACATCACTAAGCTTGTACTCCCTGGTAAAACCTTTAAAACATTAACAGCCATTAACAAATGTAAGCATGAGGTAAAAATGAGAATGAGTGAAAAAAATCTTCGACCCTATAAAGTCATTTACAGATTGCTCACATAAATAAACATGAGACACTTGATTTCTTTAGCAAGCGAGACTCAAAAAGATCAGTGGTTGAAGCAATTAGTCTCTTCGATAAATTTCGATAGTGTAATACGAAGACGAAGATTATAAGAATGATATGATATATTAGCGCAATACAATTTGAACAATGTGATCACATATATACTTATTAAGAACATTTATATATAAAAATAAAAGGTGAAGTTTACTAGAAATGGGGGGTACGAGGAGACAGTAATAATACAGAAAATAATCTGAAAACAATTTGAAACCTCATCACGCTGGATAATAAGCTAATATTATTAGGATAGGTTTAGGATGAGAACAAACTGTTTTTGAATACACAATTGGGTTGCAGAAACAAGTGAAATCAAATAACCCAATAAGAGTAGATGATAAATATTCACAATCTTTTAAGCACATAGTTGATACAGGTCACAAAATCGATATTAAAACAACTTTTGTGGTGTTGAATAAAAGTGTGGAATGAGTATAATATGGTTTATTGAGGCTTTAGGCATACAAAAATACAAATCCCCTTTATGTATTTAAAAATGGTTTGTTGTCATCCTTAACCAACCCAGGTAATATTAGTATATAATCCTGAGTGATGAGGTTTCAAATTGTTTTCAGATTATTTTCTGTATTATTACTGTCTCCTCGTACCCCCCATTTCTAGTAAACTTCACCTTTTATTTTTATATATAAATGTTCTTAATAAGTATATATGTGATCACATTGTTCAAAATAATAGCTGCTTTGACGTTCATCATACAGTAACGCAGAACAAATATTCATTGTAGTTGTTTACGTCACAGATGATGTTTATCACTGACAGTCTAATTACGCTAAAAGTTATAGCCTTTTAGGTCATTGAGATGACACTGTCCTACAACCTATAATTTTATACCATCCTGGATCAGCAAGGTACCATATCACGGTCCTCTGTTCATATATACAGTCGACTAACCTAACCAATGTATCTATGACGAAACTTTCGTAAAATAGTAAATTTTTGTGTTTTCTTTCGTTTTTATCTATAAATTAGTTGATTATTTACTCACCATGCTATTCGCATCTTAATTACAAATAGATGCAATTATTTCTATAAAATCAGCATCGATTATTAACTTAATCATATATTACTGGTAGGAAAGAAAAGGTCACTTATTCTACTTCATACAGCAGGACATTATATCATCTCTAATAGAACACTTAATTACTGTGTCTCTCATTAGCCCAGTGTTCTCATCTACTACTCATAGTGTATGACTACTCTATATTCATTAACAACTTCAAAATAACAATCAAAAGCCAGAATAATATGTACTTTGTTTTCGTCTTTGTGAATAGGTATCACGTGGAAGTTCACATAGTTGATCAATACTCCATCTAATAGATGTTTACACATTCATAACGAATATATTGAACATCAAGTTTTTCTTGATGTTTCATTAGATATTGTAAAATTAATTCTATCTTTTTCTTCTTGTGAAAACAGAATACTAATTATGACCGATTTCCAAGAATTGAAGTTCCAAATAGTAGTTACCATGGTGTAGCAAAAAAATAACAATTTATTTACTAAATATAAAAAAAAAGATTAATATATTCAATCGATTGATTAATATATATATTACAATGATAAAATGAAACAAAAGAGAACCAATCGAAATCATAAAATATGGAAAGAATTAAATTGTTCTACTCAAAAGATTGCTTTTCTTTTAAACACATGAGTATGGAATAGCTAATAAGTTTGAATTCAAGTACATTCATCAACACTACGGTGTAGATGTACCCAAATGGAATAAAAAAAACCCACTCACAATCTCTCAGTACTTTGTCATCTGTTACCATCATCACCATCATCATCATAATAATAAAAATATTAGTGTACATACATGTCTAACACAAACCTATAGACTACTATTATCCTTTTTAGTAGTTTAGTAAATTTCAAACAAAAAAAATTATTGATTAACATTAATCAGCTGTTCAGTAAATCAAAATCAAAAAGAAAATTTTCACTCATCAATATGAATGAGAAGAAATGATATAGATTTTATAAATTTTTAATAGTCATATTGATAAAATGATTTCAAACAATATTGATATTACATAATAATTTCGATGACAAATACAATAAAAAAAACACACTTGAAGAATCATATGGTATCTAAGGTGAATTGTATTCGATTTTTCAACAACAACAACAACAACAAAAGTAAAGTTTTACGCTCAGATTTGTCATGAATACATTTAGGATTACTAGTTTTAAAATAAATAAATGAAAAGAAGAACTGGTACAATGTTAATCGCTATTATGTTTGCCAAAGTAAAAAAGCCCATTTATCTATTCTAAAACTAACTAACGTTCCAGGTAATGTAGCTAAATGACTACCATATGATTCAGTGCCTACAATGGAGTGCCATATTTTACCAAAACGTTCATCTAATGTTTCTTTCATTAGTTTAGCCAATGAATCAAGATCTTTTGTTTTATTTAATGATTCACGTGCTAAATTTGTAATCCAATTTAATTTCTCTTTTGATAATCCTATAGGTAGATTTTCATTATCATTATCACCATTATCCACTTGCATATATTCAATTTCTATAAAATTGATATGGCGATTAGAATCTAGGCTATGTGTATAAATAGAATTTGTATCATAGAAATCTAATGTACTTAAAGACGGTATTGATTTAGCACAACATATATGTCTATGTGGTTGATAATGATGATGGTGGCCAGATGGCATAACCATTTTCGAACCACTTAATGACCTATATCTCCGACTTGAATTTAACTGACATTCATGATCTAATGATGAACAACTTACTCCACGTAATCTTCGATCACAATACATATCAGCTCGGTGTAATGATCGTGAATCACTGTTATAATGATTTAAATGATGAATACTTTCATTACATTTTGAACATATAACATTGCATTTTCGACAAGCACCAGAGTTATATGGAGTATGTGAGCATAGTCGATTCAATGATGAATGTGACTTTTCGTGGTGACTTTCATATTCATTCCGTCGTGAATGATTTTTATATTTATTACGGTTTTTCTTATTAGTTTTAGTGGGTAAAAACAATCGATTCTGCTTTAATTCTGATAAACCTACATTTCTATTTTTGGAATTCAAGTAAGATTGTACATCATGACTTGTATCATGGAATCCATCAGTTGAAATGACCTCGTTCTCATTTAAATCAGATGATTGAGCTGGTCCAGGTGCTATCAAATTTAAGCGACTGATTACACGTTTTTGTTCATTATTGTATGGATCATATGTAACTGAGCTTTGAACTGATGTAACAGGTTTTTTATATTTAGTATACTTTGATTTCTCTACAGATTCTCTTCTCACCGGTGATTGAGATTGTTCACTACTTTGAAGACCATCAATATAATCATGAGATTGGTTTCGTTGATGACGCCGATGATGATGACGTTCATGACGACTACGATTTGAACGATGTAATACTCGTTGCCTTTTATGCAGCACATTTGTTCTGTAATATTTATGTTCTGTTTTATTAGTATGCTGGTTTTTTCTGAAACCATTTAAATCCTGCTCATTATCTTCATCATTGTTGATATTATAAAAAACTTCTTCATTATCACGTTCAATATATTCCTTATTACCATTTTCAGAAATGGTAAATTTTTTAATAACTTTCACAATCTGTTCAGTACCGGGTAGAAGAAAGATTCTCTCTGATTTATCAGTAACAATTTGATTTTTATCATGTTGGTTATCACTGCTATATGGTAAATCTGACTCTAATTTGGGACTATATGTTAAACGTAGAGTAGATGGAGAGTGTGGTGCAGCGTCGTAACTACGTTCATTTAGTAATGAACCTACAGATTCTGAACGTGATACAGTTGCCGATGTTAACGTTTGACTTTCCATTGAATTGTATTGTGATTCGTGTTTTCACGGCTTTTTTTATCGAATAATCACTGTAAAATGAACAAATAACAAACATAAAACAAAGGTGTTTTCATAAAAACTGTGTGTTTATGCTTACCTGTTGAAGTATTTTTAACCAAGATATATAAAAGACAACAAATCCCTTCATGATTGAGAAAAAGCATCATCAAAGAAATACGTAGAACCGCTCTATCACAACTGAACGATAGCCGTCATGTTCCAGATAGAAATATACAAATCAAATTGCTGATCGTATACACTTTGCCTTTCTTCATTGTCACTTTCGTTTCTTACTAATAGCAGAAAGCTATAGAGATTCGAGCAAACAACTTAAGTCTTTGTATTCATAGTAAATTTGTAACACACTTATGCCTTCGTTGGTCAAATAAGCCTTAACAAACGATTTTGCTTGTTATTGTTTTTCTGTACTCATCGTTAGTTTATTTTTCTCAACCTCAATATTCCTATTAATTCCCAGGTACTTCAAAACTAACTTCCTATTTTCTAACAATGGAATCCATAAGAGGCACCTGGTTACAGTATCAGTGTGAACATCAATACTAGAATATAATCACATCAAACTAACGAGTTTCGAATAGGACAAAATGTGTTTCTTGAATTTCATTGTCAACCACTATCACACTTTGCTTAGAAACAGACATATGCATTTTTTATTAAGCAAACAACACGAAAGAATGAAACATAGAATTAACATTCAAAATAAAGAATGAATAAATTTTCGACAATATCAATCATCATTGTATTTCAAACCTTATTGAAAGATTACAAACTTATCGTCAAATGTTTGATTATAGAAAACTGTAATGGTTAGGAATAGAATTCAGAATTTTCCTTTTGTTCTATTTGAAACTTATCAGTTAGATGAGCCTGCACTAATTAATTAGTTTTTGTTTAATTCAATAGCTTATTCATTTTAAATATTTGTCAACTATAACAACATGATTCATCTTTTGTTATTAGATTCAACTCAATTATATCAACCTGTAAGATATGTTGAATTTTGCAAGTAGACATGTTTACACAAGTTATGCATCACGAAGCAAGCCCTAACTTGGAATCCTGAAGGAAAGTGGAAAAGAGGAAGGCCAAAGAACACAATACGTCGTGAAATAGAAGCAGATTTGTAAAGGATGAATAACAACTGGAAGGAGCTGGAAAGGATTGCCCTGGACAGGGTTGGATGGATAATGCTGGTGAGCGGCCTATGCTCCTTCACCAGGAGTAACAGGCGTAAGTAAGTAAGTATGCAAAGAATATACAACTGTTCTTGGTTTTCGTATTTTTGTTTTTCATCCCCTCTGAAATTTACATTTATATTCTTTGTTTTTAATTATAAGGGGTACGTACTACTAAATGAAGGATATATGTTAAGCGATAAATAATCATGCAAATATTTCATATTCAGGATATAAGCCTAAATCTAATCATTCTGAGAGTTTTCAATTCGTTCACTATTCTATTTGAATATATTTCAATGCTGATATTATAGTTCAAATCAGGTTAAAAATTGTTATGTCCCGATAAGCATAGTGAATGGTAACTTTTGCGATCCCTTTATGGACCAATACTAAACGTATATTTTATCGTATAATTGTTAAATAACTAAACTATACATATTCATGTCCCTCTTATTATGAGCTTTATTTTGACCTATGAATCATTATTATACGTTTTACCATTCTTGAATTATCCCCTGTCTATTAATTACAACCTCCCACATTCACAGCCACATTTGGCCAATACTTGTTCAAATGTTGTTTCATATTTTATGGTACGGTAAGGTCTGTCTGGTTGGTATATAAACCGAGTATGTTTGAAATAAACGATTTATATCGCAGAGGCTGAGATTTGTGTTCTGAACTTAACTGGCTGTGCTAGGCAGGAAGCAGGGCCAATAAGGACTGTAGACTGCTCTCACGGGTTATATGCGTCATTGGTCCGGTCGACAAGTCACTGCTCTCTAATTGGCGGTATCATTACGTATACATTAACAGGACACACAGGCCACAAGTTATAAGAAAAATGCCACGTTTTAAAAGATAATCAATCAATTCTTCTAGTATCGATATTTTTTAATTAATTAGTTGATAGCAGAATAACTTATTCAAGTTGTATCTGTTAGCAGAAATCTACAGACCGATTAATACAACATAGACAGAAAGTTATGTAATGCTTTTTTACTATCGTAAGAACTACAATTGATTTCAGCTTTTTCTTTGCCTATTGATATTCATCTACTTCAGGGTGTTAACTCACCTTTCCTCGAAAATTTACATTGACACTTAATTCACTGTAAATATTTCGGCGATTATTATTATTATTTTACTGTTTTCTTTTTCAAAAGTCTAGTGATGTGATAAAACTTAATTGGTTTTTATGATGTACATACTTATAACGATCCGTACCACAGAAACATTGTAATCTATTCACCATGACATTTATCATTGATTTGTTTATGTAATTGTTGTACGTGGTATTTCCTCTTTAAAGATGTTTTATATGATACAATTTTAAACAAATAACAAACATATTTTAATAATTTTTAAGATAATAAAACAAATCATTATTTATTTTTATTATTTAAATGAGAAATACAAGTTAATATCTTGCGTTATAAGTCAAGTATTCAGTGTAAAAGTTTGTTGATAACACTGATACCACTACTACTAACCGACTACTTAAATCAAATTAGAGAAACATGTTACGGAATCTACAAGATTAATTTATGTTCATGTATTTTTTTTTAAAGGAATAACTTTCAAAGTAACACTAGTTGGATGTTTTTGTGTTTTTGTACCGAGATTTTAATGTAACTGAGGATATATAATTAATACAAGGAAAATTTAATGTAATCAAACAGATCAAATGAGCTTCATTCAAATACTTGTAAGCAGGAATATAAGTGTGATTTTAAGAAGAGAACAATAATTTCTAAAGTAAAAGTAATCACTGTTGCATTAACATTACCTATGTAGAAAAACGTCATTAAAATTACTACAATCTTCATAAAAACCCTTCTGATAACAATCATCTGCTCACTAGTGACTGACTTCAAGAGGTATTTCCTGGAGTTCTAGTGACAAGTCGTGACCAGTCGAGTTCAACCAGGTCTGTTGTGAGATCGTAACTCACTGAAGACAGTAGTGTACGGTGGCTCAATTTCGTGGATTGGTTGGAGTTAAACATTAACACCTTTGGATACTTGCTCAGTGGTCTAGTGGTTAAGCGCTCGCGATCGAGACTGATAGGTCATGAGTTCGAATCCTTCATGGCGCGATCGTGGATGCGCACTGCTGAGGAATCCCATGATGTGACGAAACGGCCGCCTAGTTTTTTTAGGTTTTGCATGGCGGTGTAGCTTCAATTGACTCATGACCTCAACTATTTAGATTATTTGTCTTAAAATGAATTACCATTAGGAAAAATAAACTTATTACAAGTGATGTAAACTGCTTACTGTTATACAGTTGATTTGTCTCATAAAAATTATTAAGTTGAATTATAGCTTGTAGAATTATTGCTTTTAAAGTAACATAAAATGAGGCAAGAGTATGAAATTCCCAAAAACAATATATAGTGATTATTATGTCACAGTGAACATGTTAGAAATATTATACTGAATGATATCTAGATTAGATTATATGATAACTAGCTAGAAAATGTGTTGTTAAGTAAGATAATTTATATTTTCATGGGTTTATTCATTTAAACTATCCTTTTGTCCTAATAACTTTTGTGATGAATTTATAATTCTTCCATTAAATAGTTTGAAACCAGAAGGCAATAAGAAGTGGCAACTACAAGTTATTAGCGAATAGTGCAGATCACTAATCTATAAGCACATCAAGCGTATTTGAAGCGAGAGACGAATAAGAATATATACGAGCAATTAAATAGGCAAATTAATAGCAAATTGGATAAAGTTGAAGCAAGGCAAAGCAAGGACTAACAATAATATATAGGGAGGAAGATGAATCATCGATTAATGTTTAAGCAATCAACATTTTACCTCGAGTCTACCATCTGATCTAGTGATCATAACGGTACAAAGTAATCAACGAATTGTTACTGTTCAAATAATATTGTCTGTTAAATAAGTTAATAAAATGGCTTAACCAAAATTAACCATAATCGAAATGGATTGTAGAATAGTTGCTATAAATTAAAGTATAATAAAATAATTATTAAATACATAGCGAAAAGATAAGTTTAGAAGAAATAAATAATCTGTATCTTCATAATGCATAAATACATTCAGCATGACTTATCCCAAATTCTAATCTTAAACGTTATGCTATAATTTAAATTTCCCGCAACTGACAAATTCACTGATTTAAACAAATATAGAAAATTAATTTAAAGACATCATTAGTTATTCAATGAATCTCAATTGAATATAAAAAGATAAATATGGTTGATTCTATTAAATTGTCAATGGATCTGTGGTACGCACTACTTATATTGATATAATTAGTATGTGACACGAGTCAGGAATGTAATGTCTGGGGAACATCAGGAAAGGAAGAGCGCGAACAGAAAGCAATTAGTATGGAAATACAAGAACAACAAAGTTCGAGACAATTATTGAATGTTTTGCAAATTAAGTATTATAGTATGTTTTTTCTATTTTACCAAGTAACTCGGTAATTTTGTGCTAAATATAATTCGATTGTCCCCACCCGTGTTCTGTTCACTAAAGAACATGTCAAGTAATTTCATAATTTACTGCCTCTCAAATACTAAACTCTTAGTAGGAGGAATTTAGAATACACTATAAAAAATAGTTAAATAATAAAGACTTCATTACGTAATCATAACTGAATTCATGGCTATTCTTAATAAATAATCTGCTCAACACTAAATTTATGTGAAATGATCAACTCAAACATTTTTTTAGTTATGCTAAGTAAAAACTTTTCCCTAGCAACTCTACAGAAAAAAAACACAATTTCTATTTAACTTATATACTCAAATTGTAATTATTACATCATATATTTGATAAAAGATTTTCATTAGTCAATGTCTATCATTGAATTTTATTAATGAACGTTTGAAACCAGTTTAGGTCTTGCAACAATTTCTTCCATCTATCATATATATAGTGCAAGAATAGCAGGAGATTCATCTATAGCTTTTCCAAAAAAGGAGATAATGAAGAGAATATTCTAATAGATGTTATGTTCCTACTTGAAGCTCCTAGTATTAAACAGCCGAATACGTCGTAAGATTTTTTTAATGTTTGAAAGTAACAAAGTACTACTAAGTGGAATAAGATATTATTATTATTATTATTATAAAGAGAGATGAATGGTGAGTAGCAGTGGAATCCAGACACGCGTTTTATCCTATGTAGAATGCCTAAGCTGATTTACTTCCTCTCCAGAGTTGCTTTTCACGTCAGAACTCGAACGCAGGACTGATTAACACTGCGAGCCACTTTCTATCTTTGCTTCTAATTCCTGTGAGTTAATGACGATATCGGAGCAATCCACACAGGATATACATATGCCAAAACATTCAAGCAACCAATACAAATGAATTATTGCTAATATTGTTAACTCGTTACCAACTATAGATTCGTATACTTGCCTTCGAGCTATATGTTCAGTATGAATTCCAGAGAAACTGTTCAAACATCCAAACTGAAGTAGGGGAACTAGAAAATGAATAATTGAAACTAACAATAAACAATGAATTCAATCAATCATAGGGCTATTGATAAGTACTCAGACGGTTCCGATATTCGAATAAAACAATTGTTCAATGATCCTTGTTTCCCATTGATATCTACCATATCAACTAATATCGATCCTTAATAAATTCCGTAAAAACATAGTTCAGATTATTGTATATGTTATGTTCATTTTTAATAAGTGACTAGATATAATGTTAAATCATTTTAAAAAAGTACCCACACATTTATAAATTTCTAAAATAAACTCCTTAACATTTATATACTAGTACTAAATAAAATGACCAAAGAAATACAATGGATACATTCATATCTATGCATAGATACAAAACATTACATACATTCATATATGGACACATCTATTGTATGTATTACTGAAATATCTACTTATTTTAATGATATTTCTACCAAATGAGTAACATCCATTCGTCAATTCGTTTTATTTACAAAACAATCTCTAAAAAAAATCACAACATTTTCTTCTAAACTTTTTTTTCACCTTTCAGATTCAATCATCAATGGAATGTGCGTACGTGCTTGACTGCGTGCATGCGTGCGTGCGTGCTTGAGTTGTCCCGCTTTTTTAAAAAATTGTTTTTAAAATATTATTTATTACTTATTTAGAAAAAGAAAAAAAATTAATAAACTTTACACAATACCATAGAATAGGTTGTTGTTGTTGTGTTTTTTTTTGTTATAAAAATAAGAAAGAAATAAAATAAGAGAATAATGTAAACAATAAAGTATGTACGATAATTATGATGATCAATAGAAATGTGGATCGGTTTCCAAAGTTCAAAATAATTTGAATTTTATGTAGACCCTATGAATTATGCGTTAGGTGTATACATACAATGATTTTTGTTGTATATACCAGATGATCAGTTTTTTATGTTTGTTCAAACTGAATGTATATGATATGAAAGAGGAATGATGAAAGAAATCAGGAGGATTGTAACTAATCAGATAACTTTTGATTAACTATTCAACAAATGGTTATTTAGGTCTTCTGAACGAAATTAACTTCAATGGAAAAACAGTATAAATAAAATTTGTAGCACTGGTACTGAATTGTTTTTTATGTAATTCTGGTTAGAGATGTATAGTAAGAAATTCAAAAAAATATCTACATATGTAATAAAAACAGCCTACTGTGTTAACTTTCATGTACCTAGACAGCATCATTGATGAATGTGGAAGATCTTATGCAAACAAAAAGGCGGGGATTTGTAAAACAAGTACAGCATTCTTACAATTGAAGAACATATGGAATTCAACATATCTGTCTGCAAGCCAACATCAAATTCAGAATCTTCAATACGAGAGTCAAAACAGTTCTAGTGTACGGAACTGAAGCTATGAGAACTACCACAACTGTCATAAAAAAAAAGTACAAGTATTTACAAACAATTGTCTATGTAAGATACTCAATATCCGTTGACCGGATACTATCAGCAACAGCCTACATACCAGCTTCAAAATGAAGAGGAAATCGGGAAAAAAACGTCAGAAGTGAATAGAACACATATTGAGGAAATCACCAAACTTCATCACTAAGCAAGCTCTAACTTGGAATCCTGGAAGGAAAAGGAAATGAGAAAGACCAAATAACACATTGCGTCTAGAATTAAAAGCAGGTATCAAAAGAATGACTAGCAACTGGAAACAAATGGAAAAGATGCCCATGACAGAGTTGGATGAAGAAAGGTGATGGGTGGAATATGCTCCCTTTACGAAGGGTAACAGGCGTAAGTAAATGGGTAAGTATAAACCCATGTTTTCAATGGTGATCTAATATCGATCTGTCCATGATCTTAATCACAACTCAACAATCTCCACAACCCTATAATGATATACATATTAATGTAGAGTCATGATCAATAACTAATTGAAATCAAATTTTTGACCAATTGCCAACATGGGAATTTTCATTATTTTACAAAGAACTGCTTAGAGGTATATTATAATTATTCAATGACTGTGTTCAAAATGAATAAGAAATAAATTTTGTAATTGTCCCATCAACAGACCAATTAACTAATATTTTCAGAAAAGTGAATAGATCATCATTCTCTGCAATTGTTAATTGTATAAGTTATATATTCCTTAATGGAATAATTGTCCAATTCAAAAGTGTGAATTAATCTATTCCCATGTAAATATCAAGACAATTATTTATTGAATGATTATTGAGAAAAATGATTTTGACATGACTTGAAAACTTTGTAACGTGGAGTCCTGTCGTTGTTGACTATGAACACCACTACAAGAAGACTACGTGCCAGTTAACCGATAAAATCCCCCGTAAGCCAAATATCAGAAGGCAGTTGATGACTACAGTCGAGATGTATTTGTTGGCAATCTCGTGGTATCGAAAGGATACCGAGATCGTGTCAAAGGAGTACAAGCGTGGTTATCGAGCGTAACCGAACCCGTGCAAGGTCACAATCGGAAGATAATGGAGCAGGAATGGAGGAGGAACATGGCTGTCTTTAGCACAGGTAAACAAACGAGCACAGTAAAACAATCACTGGTACAATTGGTTATAATAAATCAATCGTGTTCCCTTGGTAAAAGCAGGTCACTGCAACTTATACTTATGAGTTTTATTGTTGAGAGATTTTCAGTTGACTATGCAGTCCCTTATTACTTTGTTGAATTGCTTCTTTTGAGATTTAAATTCTGTTACATACTAATTCATTAATAATTGATATTAATCTGTTCTATCTTAATTATATACTATCGGAGAAATTATTAATTTAGTCATTTAGTTAAAATATAAGATAATAAGGTATAACTTGTTCAGTATGAAATGAAAAGGAAGCAGTCAGTAAAAATCATGAAACCAGATATCAAGACTGGAGATAGTAACCAGCAAGTTGTGACGATTAGTAGATCGATATAATTAATACGTACGTTTATCTATACTCAGTAATTGTCTAAAGAAATTCTCGATATTAACTGTTAGGTGAGCAGATCATTTAAAATACCTTATATAAAACTTTTGGACAGAATAATGCATAACATCAATTAACATGATTAAGTGCAGAAAATTACGACTAACACTGATCGAACACACGAACAGAAGAGCGTCAATATTATGCGTTCAAAATGTAATATTATGATTATCATCATCATCATCATCATCATCATCATCATCATCATCATCATCATCATCATCATCATCATCATCATCATCATCATCATCATCATCATCATCATCATCATCATCATCATCATCATCATCATCATCATCATCATCATCATCATCATCATCATCATCATCATCATCATCATCATCATCATCATCATCATCATCATCATCATCATCATCATCATCATCATCATCATCATCATCATCATCATCATCATCATCATCATCATCATCATCATCATCATCATCATCATCATCATCATCATCATCATCATCATCATCATCATCATCATCATCATCATCATCATCATCATCATCATCATCATCATCATCATCATCATCATCATCATCATCATCATCATCATCATCATCATCATCATCATCATCATCATCATCATCATCATCATCATCATCATCATCATCATCATCATCATCATCATCATCATCATCATCATCATCATCATCATCATCATCATCATCATCATCATCATCATCATCATCATCATCATCATCATCATCATCATCATCATCATCATCATCATCATCATCATCATCATCATCATCATCATCATCATCATCATCATCATCATCATCATCATCATCATCATCATCATCATCATCATCATCATCATCATCATCATCATCATCATCATCATCATCATCATCATCATCATCATCATCATCATCATCATCATCATCATCATCATCATCATCATCATCATCATCATCATCATCATCATCATCATCATCATCATCATCATCATCATCATCATCATCATCATCATCATCATCATCATCATCATCATCATCATCATCATCATCATCATCATCATCATCATCATCATCATCATCATCATCATCATCATCATCATCATCATCATCATCATCATCATCATCATCATCATCATCATCATCATCATCATCATCATCATCATCATCATCATCATCATCATCATCATCATCATCATCATCATCATCATCATCATCATCATCATCATCATCATCATCATCATCATCATCATCATCATCATCATCATCATCATCATCATCATCATCATCATCATCATCATCATCATCATCATCATCATCATCATCATCATCATCATCATCATCATCATCATCATCATCATCATCATCATCATCATCATCATCATCATCATCATCATCATCATCATCATCATCATCATCATCATCATCATCATCATCATCATCATCATCATCATCATCATCATCATCATCATCATCATCATCATCATCATCATCATCATCATCATCATCATCATCATCATCATCATCATCATCATCATCATCATCATCATCATCATCATCATCATCATCATCATCATCATCATCATCATCATCATCATCATCATCATCATCATCATCATCATCATCATCATCATCATCATCATCATCATCATCATCATCATCATCATCATCATCATCATCATCATCATCATCATCATCATCATCATCATCATCATCATCATCATCATCATCATCATCATCATCATCATCATCATCATCATCATCATCATCATCATCATCATCATCATCATCATCATCATCATCATCATCATCATCATCATCATCATCATCATCATCATCATCATCATCATCATCATCATCATCATCATCATCATCATCATCATCATCATCATCATCATCATCATCATCATCATCATCATCATCATCATCATCATCATCATCATCATCATCATCATCATCATCATCATCATGCAATAACCATTTGCTTTATTTTTGTGAACCCTGAACATTTTTTTAACCTTTTTATTGATTCATTTCCTGTCTGCTCATAATACATGCATTCTTTTCACAAAGTATTTAGCTTTTTACAGCAAGTTGTTGTAAAGTGTAAAATTGTGATAGAACACACACACACGTAGCAAGTGTTCCAAGTCTCAAAATGATTATATTTTCTATTTGATCTATACACCAAATAATGGAAAAATCTTAGTAGGTATACATTTCACAGTATATGTGTAAGTGTTGAAACTAACAGTGTTTATGGTAAAATAACAATAAATCACTTTGATCTTAGAAATATGTGCGTAATTTTTGTTGCTTTGACTAGAAACAAAATAATATTAAAGTGAATAGATTGTGTGAATATTCTCAAGTCAATAGTAGCTTACAAGAAATAAATTGAATCAATCAATTATTGATGTAAAAATATTTAAAAAACTCCGGTTAATTTGAAATGATGGGGATGATTTAATTTAGGTTAGTTGAATGTTAATTTTGATAATGTTTTATTAACTATAGCAGATGTTAATTATCAGTATAGGGTTGTGGAGATTGTTGAGTTTAAGTTGATATCATGAATGGATCAATGTTAGAATACCATTGAAAACCTGAAAGCACTTGACGGCTGTCTCGTCTTAGTATAGGACTTCTCAGCAGCGTGAATTTACAATCTCGCATGTAGGAGTTCTAGTGAGAATCCATAGCCAGTGGAGTTTAACCGTGTGAGGCAGTTGCTCACTAAACACAATGATAGACGGTCGCGCAATATCGTGGATTGGTTGTAGTTAGACATAAACATTATTGGATGCCGGCTACAGGTTAAACGTTTGCGCGCGAGACCTAAGGGCGTGGATTCGAGTCCTGTGTGCGAGATCGGGAATGTATACTACTGAGAAGTCACATACTTGGACGGTACGGCCGTCAAGTTCTTCCAGGTTTTCAATGGTGGTTCAATATTGATGCATTCATGATACCAATTTAAACGAAAGCACTTGTGTTAATTCATGGATATCAGTGATTACTGTACCTAGAAGTTGACCATTTAAATCCTATAACTAGGAATGAATTATCACAACTACAGATAAACAAAATTGTTTCATACTTTGATATTTACAGAATAATGTAAGTGATGATATAAGTTTGTGAACTTTAATCAACAGATGTGATTTTCTACTACACTGTTACATATTGGTATAGATTACGATTATTTCAAATAGTAAATAAAGATGTATTTTAATACAAGTACTATTTACACTTATATATAGAGCTCAACAACTAATCTCCGAAACCCTTCAATAATAATAATCCATCAGGTGATTACAGAGAAATGTAATGTGATGTATGCTACTGATGTCGATAGATATAAATAGTATATATTGCCGTTCAAAAGTGGAATGCCTAGCGTCAGAAAATTGAGAAAATCGAAGAGAAGAACACGAGAACAGAGAGTGTTTGGTATGAAAGCGAAGGAAGAACAAAGTCTGAGACAATTGATGGTTATTTTGCAAATGAAGTATTTACTATATGATTCTCACATTTTACTAATATATTCTGTAATGTTGTGTCGAAATATATTTGGTTGTTCACATTTGTGTTCTCATTCACTACAGTAATACAACAGCTCGGTGTATAAATACAACAACTATGGCTTTGGAACATTTAACAAGGATCATAAATCTAAAGACGAGACTAATGAATTAAATAAAATCGAAAAGGTCAGTATGTTAATGTGAAATTAGGAAAAGTTATCAAGGTTATTTTTGGTTCGTCAGAATTAAAAATTATTGACAAAAATAATGAAACCTAGACGATGTAAAGCTTCTCAGCCATACAATTGAAATCCATACCTATCAAGGGATAAAATAATTCTCCAACTAAAGTTTCTACAAATGATAACAGTAAAATACTTAAGTGCTCACTTCAAAATCCTATTTCACTGAATACAATATAATAAAAATAATCTTAAAATTACCATTTATCAGTGTATATTTAGAGTGTGAAAGAAACTGATGATTTGGAGATCAACTAGATATTTGTTTCAAGACTAATTATTATCTATTCTTTCCGAAAGTGATTAAAAGATGATTAAATGACATCTCTTCATAGGTATTTGCTAGTAGGATACAACTATCCAGTGTTCCTAGACCTTGATTGTTTCTTTGACTGACATAAAAAAGTGATAGAACACTGGACGGCCGTTCCGTCCCACTATGGGACTCCTCAGCAATGCGCACCCACGATCCCGCCCGCCGCAAGATTCGAACCCAGGAGCTATCAATCTCGCGAGCGAGCGCCTAACCATTAGACCACTGAGCCGGCATCCAACAGTGTCAATGTCTAACCAAGCCAACAGCCGTCTAGTGCTTCCAGGTTTTCCATGGTGGTCTAACTTCAATTGACTCATGATTTCAACTAGTGAAATTTCTAAAAATCTCCACCGAATCCATTCTGATATTATGTAAAATTTACTTACTAAATGAATAAATGAATAAAACAACAACTTGGAGCACTGGATACAATGCACTTATAAAACATTGAAAATGTTGTGGATAATGTCAGCTGATTGACTTCTTATTCTTCTTTGTTTGTTTATTTGAATATGGGTTTAGTACTAATAACACACTTGATGAATTAATGAATATCAACTAAAGACAATATTGACGTTAAGGTTAATAAATCATCATGTGATGATATACCTCAAAAATGACGTCTTTATTAAGATACATTTTAGTAATCACCACTACATCACACTATACTATACTATATCTATTATTTATGTAAAAATAGATAACTGGAAAAAAAACCAAAAAAAAACAATACAAATCAATAAATTTTGATTGATAAAATTGTGAAATATTGATCAACTTTATAGAAAACGTTTTAAATTTCACGATCAATATCCAATTCATTAAATGATACGAGAGAGAAAAAAATCGATATTTGTTTAGTTCATAGAATTATGAATAAAATTATAAGTGACTTTTGTCAAGGACTAATATATATATATATATATATATATATATATATATATATATATAAATGAGAGTACAATTGAATGATACTGAGTTTCTGAATCTGTACTTTAAATGTAACTATTAAATGTTATGAAATATCAAATAAGAATGAATGATTGAATGAATAGTTAAACTTACTATTGTAACCAAAGTAATGTGAACTAGCAACAAAAATTATCAACATATCTAATTTATGTTAAATATACTACTGAAATTTTAATGAGAATTCAATCACATCAGAAGTTGTCATGCTCTAAAACAGTGTTTATATAATTTGTTTTTTGTCAAAATACTAAAAAATGATATTTATTAAGATTAAGGTGGTTAGAGGAAGTCTAAATGAAAACGCTGTTAGGTATTAGATTTCGTGTTACTTGGTGCTCAGCACCAAATCGTACTTGCAGTTATTAGCAACGTGATGTTTCATGATAAATCAGAACGTTTGTACTGAGCTAGTTAGGCTATTAATAGATCAGGTATATCTAGAATTCTAGAGTTTCCCATCGACTACCTTTAATCATCTAACATCATAATATAATGCAAGCGAATTCAAGACGCTTAGATCAGCTGGCACACTACAAATTGATAAATATTAAAGAACGTAACAAACGTGATATTGGTGATCCCTCAATTACAGATGACTTTTATCGTGAATTTAAAAAAATTGTATGATCTTGTGACATTAGTTATGTGAATTTATTATCTTTCAACTTAGAAATTTATTTCATAAGTAAGATTTTTTCACACGGAAACAATAACTGATGCCAGTTAAACGAAATCAATGTACATTTTTATAACTAACACTGATATTGCTTAACAATTTATAATTTAACTGGGAACTATTAAATAATAAACAGCGATAATGCCTCATTTCAGTCACCAATATGAACCTCAGCATTTAGTAAAATCTATGCCCTAACTACATCTGTGGATGATTTATTGATCTTGGGTGATTTAATGACCAGACAGATGATTTTTCATCGTAATATACACATTGTAGTTTTATATTGTTAATGATAGAATTTCATGTTTCTTGGACAGAAAATGATTTAATTATCTTTGATCATCCCGAACATAAGAAAACAGTAGTGGAATGTAAGAATACTGTAACTGGTATATACGTCTAATTATCATTCAAAAACCTCTTCTATTCCTTACAAAACTAAGTTAGCTTATTAAAACTACGGACGGTTACACATTAGTTTGATAACTAAAAGGTTGAGAGGTGCAATCCTCCCATCAGTACTCTGTAACTGGTTTTATTTTGATTATATGACACTGTGAATTATTTTCACTTCATTACATCAAATTACTCAAAATACTTCATATCACATTGATCACAATTTTACATTTTAAGTTTTTCCTTAGTTCGACCTGGAATCGAGCCCAAAATATTCAAGTCCTTTGAAGCTCTAAATCAGAACTGAATGAGCTACTCAGTCCAACGTCAGTCGATTAACAATATAACATAACAACAATTTAATGTCATTGCTGCTAAGTGTCTCAGACAATAGATGGTTGAATCATAGAGATCATAACTTAGTACTAGAACTTTGGAAAATTCACTTCAAACCCAGTCATCAAAAAGAAGAATCTACATTTAAACAAATGCTTTGGTCATGTTGTATAATTTAAAGGCAATTTCATTAGTGGACATTTATCGGTTAAATAGCCAACTGTTCACAGTCCTCATCGACTTTCAAGTAACTAGTGGTACATAAAATCTGACAGTAAAATGAGTCAATTCGCAGATGTATCGAAACGTGATTATAATGAAATTTGCAAGCTGGATAACGTTATAAATATTGACAAAACTATTCAGCAAAATCCATTAAAGACAGACGATTTTTCGAAAAATATTCTCTAGTTTGGTTGCTTTTATTCACCTCTAAAACTTCAATTTTCATAAATTTTGTTTACCACTATTATACAAAGTTGTTGTGTATCAAAAAGCTTCCATTTTCTTATTTATTTCTCTCTAGAGGAGTCCCGAAAAACGTCCCTCATCAAAAACCCTAGAGATCAAGATATGCCAGGAAACGTT